TTGTGTACTGTTTTTATTTTTGTTTCTTTTGAGTGGTTGTTACATTCAACAACAAAATTAGATAAGGCGAAGCAAAAAAAAAACAGTTTGAAGTCTACAATAAAAAGAATGATTTTCTTTTTCTTAATTTTTTTTATAAGAGGATAGCAAAAATACAAATTGCAATGTGTTTGTAAAATTTATTTGTATAATTTTAATGTAACAACAAGGGTTGAATTTAACAAATGCGAAATGCAAAATCATATATATATATATATATGTATATATATATATGTATATATATATATATATATATATATATATATATATATATATATATATATATATATATATATATATATATATATTTATATATATTTATATGATTTTGCGTTTGGCATTCGTTTAATTGTGACACTATAATGTGTGACGACTAAAAAACTAGACAATCTTTGTAGCTTCAGTTTATGTCTAACAATGTTTTATAATTTTATAATTCTTCTTATTTTGTTGGAATTTTATTCCTCTACAATATATCATAGTCTTTACAATATATCATAGTCATAGTCAATTTATCATAGTTTTTTCAAGAACCAAATTAAACATGTCTAAAAGATTGAAAAATCAAGAGGCCTTCCATAAATGAGTGTACGATTTGCATCCAGAAGAGAACAAAAGTTTTGTTGTTAATCATTTTTGCATGAAAAATGTTCCAAAATCAACCATGTACAATGTTCTGCGACAAAAGGAGATCAATGTAGGACCAGAAAGAAAAGTTGGAAGTGGTCAGTGGTCAGGGAGTGGTCGGACTGCAAAAAAAATGCCTCAGACACAGATTAAACTCCTAAAAAAATTGATTGATAAGAAGGACGGTGTTTCACAGCGTAATTTAGTTAAAAGATTTAATGTTTCCCAGCAATATATATCCAAAACTATCAACAAAAAGATTAGCATTCGATATCGTAAAAAAACTGAAGTGCCAAAAAGAACATTGGCTCAGAAGTCTGCTGTGCATCCTAAGTGCCGAAAATTAGTTGCACCTTTCCGGAAAAAATTTGTTTCAATTGACAACAAATCGTATTTCCGTTTGTGCAACACACAGCTCTCTGGCAACGCAGGATATTATACTTCTGATCCCGATACAACTCCTTATAAGGTTAAGCTCAAAAGAAAAAGCAAATGTGAGCAAAAATTATTAGATTGGATAGCCTTGTCAGAAAAAGGGGTCTCAACGCATTTCCTAGCTCCTTCGGGTTTTACAGTCAACAAGGATGTGTACATTTCTAAATGCCAACAAAATTGTGTTCTGGCCTGATCCAGCCTCCACACACTATTCAAACAAAGTACAAAATTACCTAAAAGGCGAAAATATCAAATATGTGTTGAGAGACATAAACCCTGCTAATGTACCCGAATTGCGTCGGATTGAGGATTTTTGAAGTGAATTTCAAAAATTGGTGTATCCAGACTATTGGCAAGCTAAAAATCTCTGCAAACTAAGAAATTGAATAGAGTATTGTATGAAAATAAATCAATCAAAATTGCGTACGTAGGCTTGGGGCGAGTATCTTTACAAGAGCTGATCCCAGGGTTGGAAAAAACCCAGGGTTTTTTAAAAAAACCCAACCCAAATGGGTTTTTTTGGGTTTTATGGGTTTTTTGAGTTTTTTTAAAAACCGATCAAAATACCAAATTTTTATAATTGTATGATTACGATAATTTTTTTTTTAATTTCATAAGTTCATCTTCCTATTGCTCCAATGACCACTTCAGTCAAGGGAGCAACTCATTTTTCAAAAACATTTTGTCTCAAACCTTAACATTACCATTTTTACTAAAAAACAACATTAACAACTAAAATTTTTAAACAAAGACGCTGTGCGGAGAAATAGATTGAGCACAGTAATTTCAGCAGAGGTAATTTGAACCCCAACCTTCTGGTTGCGAGCCAAATGTTTTACTACTAGTCTACTAGCACATTTTACCTATAGTGCAAAAAGGGACTCCATCAACTATTAATGATGTTAATTAATTGCTCTAAATTAAAAACATGTTCAGAATATTTTTGACTAAAAAAAAATCAGTGTAAAAATTATGACAATTGAGTTACTCAAAGTTGGTAAGACAATATAAATGTTGCAAACTAGTTTTTTTTACTAACATGTTCAACATATCATTTCAAAAACTTATTTGCACAAGTTTACAACATGTAATCAACAAGTTTGCAACATGATGTTGCAACCTTATAAGTTATTATGAATCAAGTTGACTATGAACACTTTTTAAACATTTTTGTATCATAGAAGAAAACTGCTAGCCTAATCACTACATTTTTTTTTATAAGAACATTATACTGTCTAGTTTCCTGAAAAAGTTATCCACCTGATCAACTGGACTAACAAAAAATGGATTTTTGCCTAAACTTAAGTTGTTCTTAAAGTATCTAAAATAAATTTGTTAAGAACCATTACAGTGTCTTTGCCACCAAGTTTTTTTTTTTTCCTTGAAGATGTTTTACCGACTCAGTTTTGCAATGCAAATTGCAAACTGAATCAAAGTCACACATTATACCGCTCTATTGTGTGTGTTTCTTCACCTTTTAGCAACTTGATACTGATGTTAATTTTCAACCCCCTGTTCACAGTCACCCTTGTTGGTGGTACATGTTGTAAACTTGTAGCTGATGCAAAATATTCAAAACCTATCAAAAGACAGATGAGCACGAGTGTCATTTTTACTAACAAATCTTGTCTTTGTGAAATGCATACAAGTTTTCAACATGTTCTCTCATTGAATGAGCAAACATGTTGCAAACTTGCTTGCACATAACTTAATTTTTTTTAAGTTTTAAAGTTGTATGCACTTAATGACAAATCTAGTAAACTGTAGCATTTTTTTTTTGCCTGACAAATTTCCATTTCTAAACTGTAAATAAAGTTTAATAATTTTTATATATAGTATTTTGCTTGTGGCTTTCTACTGAAATTTGCAGTTTACAACATAAGCTTTAAAAAATAAAAGAGCAAATACCAATATAAAGGAATATAGACATTCGAGAGGAGAATAAAGATACTAAATAACTAGTAATGTCTTGAAATTTAGTTAATAGAATGATTTTTATTTCCTTTATAAGTATTTAATTTAATGTTTTAATACATATTTCAATAACATTTATAATAACTTGCTAAATGTTTAAAAAAAATAATAAATAACCAACTTGCTACAAAAACAGATTGATCAGTTTTGGGTATATTCTAAATACCATTATGTATATAAATACAGTGTTTACAAGAGTAATTACAGCATAAAAGTTGCATTTGCTGATAATAAAGCATTTATAAGTGTTAAAATCAGAGTTATCAGCTGTAAAATAGGACATTTTAAAAAAAAGCCAAATATATTTTGGGTTTTTTTGTGTTTTATTGGGTTTTTTTAAGGTGGGTTTTTTTGAGTTGGGTTTTTTTGGGTTGGGTTTTTTGCCAACCCTGGCTGATCCTGTTCGGCAAAATGGACTAATAAACAAATAATTTTTATTTTTATTTTGAAACATACAAATTTTTTGTTAATTTGCTTTTTAAATTTAAAAGATTGATAACTCAGTTCAAGAGATATTCATTTTCAAAGTTTGTCCATATTTTTAGTTTGTCCAGATTTTTAGTCGATGTAGCAGCACTCCACTGCGAGTCAGGCTATTTGTCAGTTGATGTAGGGACTGAAGCCCCTAGCAGCAGGCAATTTCAGTATGGCGTCAGATTGCTTACCTTAGTACGCAATACTATTTGTATATATATATGTGTGTATATATATATATATATATATATATATATATATATATATATATATATATATATATATATATAAATTAAATTAGTAGAAACGCTTATCTAATTTTTTCTTTAACAGCTTGCCTATCTAACAGTAGGTTCATTAGGAAGCTTTCTAATGAACCTACTGATGAAAAAATCTTTTAGGTTGGTAGTTAAATCAGTATGTGTGTGTATATATATATATATATATATATATATATATATATATATATATATATATATATATATATATATATATATATATATATATATATATATATATATATATATATATATATATATATATATATATACACACATGCTGACCTAACTACCAACCTAAAAGTGTTTGAGATCGGCAAAAAAATGCCAACATTGTTTCTATGTTTTATTTGTATCAATTTTTTCTTTGCCGACCTCATTTTTCTTTATTCCAAGTGTTATATATATATATATATATATATATATATATATATATATATATATATATATATATAATATATGTACGTATATATAATATATATATATATATATATATATATATATATATATATATATATATATATATATATATATACACACATATATATATATATATATACACACATATATATATATATATATATATATATATGAATATCTACTATAGCATATTTATATGCGCAATTGCTCACTTTTTTTGCTAGCCTAAATTAAGTGAGCATTTTTAGAAAACGATGAGGGAAAACGAAGAATAATGAATGAAAATGTTGCTGACCCATACCAAACCCTCAGTCGATGTAGCAGCACTCCACAGCGAGTCAGGCTATTTGTCAGTCAATGTATGTACTGAAGCCCCCGGCAGCAGGCTATTTGACATTAGGTGAGTATGACATCATCATGCTCACCTAACTCAGCAGTATAAGATATATATATATATACACACACACACACATATATATATTTATATATACACACACACACACATATATATATATATATATATATATATATATACACACACACATATATATATATATATATATATATATATATATATATATATATATATATATATATATAATTATTTATTGAATATGTTGAATATAGTACTTCCTATGGTGTTCCATACTTAAGTTATTTTCTGGAATACCATATTTCTCATTTTTATCAATACGCTACTAATGGTTTGTGCATAAAAATTAACTTGATTTTGATTATTATCTTTAAATTTAGTCCAATCAAAAATATATGTTGGCTTATTTTGAACATTGCTTATCTGAAAGAAGCTTGGTAAAAACTTTTTTTTTTTTTTTTATAATGCTGTGTATTTTTTAGTAATTTGTATAAAAGTTTTTTTTTTTTTGTATAGGTTTTTACAAAGTGACTCTTTGCACCCATTGTCACAGGTTTTGCTCAACAACACTGAGTTTTCAAAAGAGTTGTTTATTTCAGTTCAATCATATTTAATATCTACACTGCACAAAGATTTTTCACTGACTTCAAATAAACAGTATAAATAATTTTTTTAATGCTAATATGGGTTTGTTCTTAAATGTAAGTCTTACTAAACTACAGTTATGTTCTATAAAATAAATATGACTGGTCTATCAACTGAATAAGGTTTTTATTTGAGTTAGCTACCAGGATCTCCTTTGCTATTTTTGTTACTCAATTTTTAGCATAACAATGTTTTTAAAAATAATTTGTGTGAAGTGTGTGCATCTTTTTAAGATGCTATAAATAAAATCACATTGTAATTCTTTAATTATCTTTTCATTTAATCAAATTCCCATCATTTTAAAAAGATTGCACCTTATAAAGTTTTATACATATTTATTATAATAAAAAATTTGTTATGTATATTTATTTTAATTTTTTTTTGCAACACAATGATGATGCAGTGCACTGAACCACTGCTATTGTGTCAATAACTGTCTTACTGAAAAAATGTTATATAGTAGTACAGCGCTCGAAATAACGGCCGATCAATGATCGGCTATTTTTAGGGACATTTGGAAAAATTTAACGGAATATAACCTGTTTTTGTGAAAAAATTACATTTGATCGGCTAGCTTTAAAAACCTATTTCGAGCGCTGGTAGTATATTAATAGTCACTATATCAAAACTAAATAAGATAATATAAAGTTATAGTATCAAATAACACCTGCAGACTACTATAATAAACAATGTTATTTTGGGGAGTCTGATACCTACACTGATTCCACTTGTCAGGGACATATTCTTGCAACAGATCATTGGCTGTGCTCTTATGTTATCACAGATCTCATTGACTATGCTCTTATCCTATCACAGATCTCATTGGCTGTGCTCTAATCTTATCACAGATCTCATTGGCTGTGCTCTAATCTTATCACAGATCTCATTGGCCGTGCTCTTATCTTATCACAGATCTCATTGGCTGTGCTCTTATCTTATCACAGATCTCATTAGCTGTACACTTATCTTATCACAGATCTCATTGGCTGTGCTCTTATCTTATTTTAAATTGTAGCTACATTACTACCTCACCACAATATTTCAAGTCCTTTTTTTTCAAAGTCTTATTTTTGCGTAGGTTCAACCTTTTCAGAGATATTTTTAGGTTAGTATAGGATGCACTTGGGATACACACACATGCATGTGCCACTACACACACACGCACATAGGGGTGCACCCTCATAGTCTGGTGGCACGAGATGACTCGTTTACTCATAGGGTAACTGAAAAAAAAAATGCATGTCAGTAGACTGGCAGAACGCGATCAGACAGTTTTTTTACTTACAAAAGATTGTTTATTAATAAAACCATATTTTTAATTATGAAGATTTTATTTTTGTTTATGAAGATTTATTATTCATTGTGATAAAAGAAACCTTTAAAAAGTATTTAAAGTAGCATACACTTTGTTTAATAATGAATACACTATGGTGCATTATGTAACTTTACTAAACGTAATAAAAAAGAAGCAATTTATTTCAAAGTGTAGCTGTACTGTTTTTTTTAATGTTCTTGCATTTTGAAGCATGTTGCTTCACAATTTTAAATATATTTTAAAATTACATTTTTTTTCAATTCGATATACTAATTTATCATTTTTAAACTTTCAAATTTTAAATTTACATTTTGAATCACGTGAATGGGCAGTTGAATCATTAATAACACTGATTATCTTTTTTTTTTTTCATTTATAAAATAATTTTTTTTTAACTTTGTCAAACAAAATAAATGTAATAAAAAACAATCTTAGGATGCACAGGAAATGCATTTAATGGTAATTTAGTTGTAAATAAAAAAAAAAAAAAGGTATAGGGATTGCTCATAAATTATACAGTGCTAAACATTTTTTTTTTTTTGAAACTTGAGATCTTAAGATCTTTTACGCGGCAAATTAAACTAAATTAAATTAAACTAAATTAAATTAAACTAAAATTTTGATTTTTTATTAAACTTAACACTCTACAAGAGAAAAGTTCTGATCGTTTTTGTTTTGTTTAACAGTGAAATTTAGTGTTGCGTAATTTATGGGCAGTCCCTTAGTATAATGAATTACAACAAAGACATGTTTTGAACATTCAACTTAATTAAATTTGTTTGAAGACTAAGAGAGAATAATATAATTTTTTTTTTTATATAAAACATTTCTTTGTGATTATTTTTTTTAACTTTTTCTCACCGTATAATAAAACCTTTGTTATGATTAACAAAAGGAAACAACATGAAACTATGACAAAAATGATTATTTTTTAAAGTTATTTCTTCACCAATATCTCTTTGTAACTAAAGCTACTTAACAATATTTTTAACATCTATGTTATTTAACAAAACATAATAAGTAATACAAAATTGTTTTTTTGTAAAACTTAGTATTAGAGGTCTAGTTTCAAGTTGAGTCATTTTCACAAATTTTTATTGGTATTTTTTTTAGTTTTCCATTTTATGATATAGCAAACTGTGTGCTTTGTTTTTTTTAACTGTGGTTTTTAAACTAGTTTTACAGTTAGTTAAACATAGGTAGTAAAACTTTAGGTAGTTAAACATGTCTAGCTGGACATGTTTTATTGGTCTTATATTGTGTTTGGATTTTGTGCTTCATTTATATTTCTGCAACATTATGATTGCATATAGTTGACCAACAGAGTTGTCCAATTAGCTAAACATGGGAGATATACTACTGAGATCATATTGTATAGAGTTGAAAATATCTAGATGCGTAGTGAGACTCAAATAAGTGAAAATTTTTTATATTAGATATGATTAATGTGACTCACCGTGTGAATTTTAATGGCCATGTGTGAAAAAATACACATCCTAATCAAAATGTATTTTAATTGATTAAATGTAAGCCTACAAAATATAAAGTAATTACAAAATGGATTTCAATATACACATTATCAAATGTATATTGTAAGGCCTTTGAATGAATGTGTGTGTAAGTGTCATTAGCATGGTCATTAGGTTTTAAGCCATAACCACATTCGAGCGGATAAACTAATGTCTATTTTGTCATAATAGTGTACATTCGAAGATTTTACGGCTCACAAGTCTTAAGTAATTTATTTGTATTGCGACACAAAAATTGCAAATAGTTGATCAATCAAGTTTTCTAGTCAAGTATATATAAGATGTTTTTTATGGTGCATATTATAAAGTTGAGAGTTTTTTTTAAATTGTATTATACTTATTTGTTTTAATATTATTTTATGCATAAGGTTGTTTTCACTTTAGTAATTGATTTTTCATTTGTCTTCAATTTTGTTTTTTCACTTTGTGATGTCAAAAAAGTCTTAAAGAGTGTAAAAGTTGTAAAGGTTTTCCAATAAATTTTGTTTGTTTGTGTCGATCTCCAAAAGCATTATTGTTTTTTTGTTTTTGTTTTTTTTGTTTTTTAGTGAATTAAATAATCAATAATTTATTTAATTATTTAAAGTCAATCAAACATGTTCTAATCATTTATTTTTAGGTTGTTGAAAGTGTTTGCATCTATTGAGCCCTTTTTAAAGTTTGTTTTATATGAAACTTGTTATGGTGTTGAGTTGATTGAGATCTTCTCTCAACTTTTATCATTTCAAAATTCAAATGAAAATTTCTCACTTTTTCAAAAAGTATTGGAGCTCTGTAAAAATAAGGTATTTTAAAATTGTTCTAAATTATATATATATATATATATATATATATATATATATATATATATATATATATATATATATATATATATATATATATATATATATATATATATATATATATATATATATATATATATATATACATATATAATATACATATATTAATATACATACATACATATATATAATATACATACATACATATATATATAATATACATACATACATATATATATATATATATATATATATATATATATATATATATATATATATATATATATATATATATATATATATATGTATATATATATATATATACATATATAATATACATATATTAATATACATACATACATATAATAATATACATACATACATATATATATAATATACATACATACATATATATATAATATACATACATACATATATATATATATATATATATATATAATATATATATATATATATATATATATATATATATATATATATATATATATATATATATATATATATATATATATATATATATATGTATATATATATATATATATATATATATATATATATATATATATATATATATATATATATATATATATATATATACATACATATTAATAATATATTGTAATAAAATTATATACAAAAATCTATTTCTCTCACTACCATTTCTTTTAGAAAATGGTAGATAATTCATCAAAAGACTTCTTATCAGTAAGCGTTCTTCTTGCTGTTTGGTATATAAATCATTTAGATTTAAAAGGTTTTATTTATGTTTTAAAACTTTGATCTGCATTTATTAATTTACAGCTCTTAATAAATTATTCATGTAAAATAACTAAATATGATAAGTTATTCAAAAGTTCATGTAAAGTTATTCTGGAGTTAGTTCATAATTTTTATTAATTTTTTTTTCCAATTAAATAAAGAAATGTGATTAAATAAATTAAATAAATGAATTAAATAAATAAGAAATTTAATTGTGTCAAATATATTTCTTAGCACAAATGGTAAATTATGTTCTCAAGTTTTATTCAACAGTTGTGCTATTTGAAATACTTTCAATTAGTATTTCCAATATTTTTTAGTATAAATATTTCTGGCACTAAATATTTTTAAATAGATTCCCAAGTTTTGCAACAAGTTTTGCTTATTTGATAAATAAACAGAAAATAAGTTATGTTCACTAAGTTTACAAATCAAATTATTAATCAAGATATTTACAAAATTTTGCATTTTTGTTTGTCTGCCATCTTATTTTTGTTTGTCTGTCATCTTATTTCCATTGCTTAAATTTAGGCTTGCGTTTATTTATGTTTTAAAACACTCACTCAACGCTTCAGTTTGTATTTAGTTATAACTTATGATGCTATTAAAAAACTTTTACAAAGCAAAACAAATGTAAAACTTTTAGAAAACAAAGCAAATGTAAAAGGTAATAAAAGTTTTTCTTAAAAGCCTTCTCTTTTTATTTAAAAAAAAATACTTTTTTTTAAAAAATCTAATTAACTTTCAATAAGACTGAAAAACAACTACTACTAAGTTAGCAGTTACTAGAAAACAAGAAATAAAGTAAAGCGAGAATAAGTTTTGGTTGATGGAACTATATATAATAGCTCCTTTGAGCAGTGACCATGATAGTATTTAAAGAAAAGAGGAAGAAATGGTTGCATCTCTGTTACATTGGGAGAGAGGTTCAAGCTTGGAAGATAGAACAGGTCCATCTAAAATGTGTTTTTGGATCTTATCTAGCCCAACCCAAATATGACATATTTGAATATCAATTACAGGGACGAATAAGAGACTTGTAGAGGTAGAGAATAGAATCAGCAGTAAGATTATGGCAAGTACAATAAAGTGAAAGCAACCTTTGCATAAGCTAACTTTGCAATCGATTTTATATATGATTTCCATGAGAGGTCAGTAGTAAATGATAATCCAATAAGACAAAAAGAACATGACTCATTGAGAGGTTTGCTATTCATTAATATTTATATGTCAACAGTATTGTGATAGTTGTTTGAAGTAAAAAACTTCAAACAAATATCACAGTATTGTTGGAGTTTTGTTGGACTTTTCACAAAGTTTCAAAATTCACAAGCCACTGCAAGCCTCAAGCTGTTACAGAAGAGAGATTAGGTTCAAGATTGGCTGCCTTTTCTATATGATTGAAAAGAGAAGACTTTTTGTCAAGACAGGAGTATAAAGTAAAGTCGTTAGCAAATAGAGCCACTTTATGTAAGATTGTCAGCAAAATCATTAAAGAAGATAAGAAACAATAAAAGACCAAGAATAGAGCCCTGAGATATCCCAGAAGTTATTGGAAATAAAGAAGAGTGTTGGCCTTTAAGGATGAATTTAGTATTGCGGTTAGATAGATATAATTTGATAATCTCAAAGATTTTCCCAGATTCACCATATGAAGCAAACTTTTGTTGAAGACCAGCATGCCAAAATTTATTGAAAGCTTTAGATATATCAAGAATAACAACCCTTGCCTTGCCTCTAGTGTTTTAGTTTATTATTAATGCTGTGACGATCTTTTAGTCACAGCAGTAATAATAAATTTTTAATCCTCACAGCACTTAGCAAGTCAGTTCTAGAAAAAAAAATTGAAATCATATTGATTGTCAGAGAGTAAGTTATTAAACTCAAGACTTACATAGTATTTTATTTTCACTACCAATCAGCAAGTCAAGTGTATTATTTTTTACCAAAAAATCCCAAAAATAAATTATTATTTCTGGTTTTTAGATTTTGTAAGATCTTATGTGTCATTCTTCTAGAGTTGCAAGTTCAAGAACCATGAGCCTGTTATTATAAGTATACTTTCTTAAAGCACAAGATTTTTGTTACCTTCTGTTGAATTTGTCAATTTTATTACATCTGTTTAGTTTAGGGACATCAGGCTGCAACTGCATACTCTAAATGCATTTGGATATAGAATGTGTAGAGCTTTTTTATTAAGTTATGTCTTGATCTGAAAGTCTTTTTCAAAATACCTACCAGCATGTTCGCTTTTGCAACAACTGAGGTGAAACATAGTGTATTATTTTTCTGGATTTATGTATTTTTATGTGCATTATTGTACATTTATTTACATTAAGGTGCATATCCCACTTTTTTTTCCATTCTACAATAAAGTTAATATCAGTAATGTGTTGTAGTCTTTTTCCTTGTGTCCAGATTGAAATAAGGCAAATAGTTTCATCAGTATAGAGTTTTTATCTTGATTTTAGATACATTGAAAAATCATTTATAAATATTGCAATGTTGCAAATGTTGAATATACCTCAGTGTTAAATATACGCTAATGTTGATTAAATCTTATTGTTAAATATACCTAATTTACTTATTATACTATATTAAGTAAACGCAATGCAACCTTATTGTGTGTTGTATAGAGCACCTTAGTGGCACTGTGGCAGTTTTTTTGGAACATGTCCAACTGGTTCTTAAAGGTGTTTAGGCTTTCAGCATTTACAATCTCATCTGGTAGGCGATTCCAGCTGTCAACAACTTGATTTGTGAAGAAGTTACTTCTATTTTTATTGGATTGAACTATCACCCTGTCCAGTTGACTTTTATGGCCATGGTAAGGTGCAAAACCAATTAGAGTGTGGTTCCAGTTAAGAGTTTTTTAATTAGATTCAATTTTAAAAAGCTGTTATAAGTCATTATTAGATTCAATTTTAAAAAGCTGTTATTTTTTATTAGATTCAATTTTAAAAAGCTGTTATTTTTTATTAGATTCAATTTTAAAAAGCTGTTAAATATAAATACAGACTATGCATTTTAGACCTGACTTAGTCAGGTCTAAAATGCATAGTCTATTTTTATAAGGTAGATGTAGTTTATACTATTTATGGGCTATCTCAGTTTCAGTCTTTGGATTCTCTCTAAGAAATTCATATCTTTAATTGTGTGTAGGCTCAACAAGCAGAGAATTTGTGATGAAGATGCACCTATGATATGTATAATTTTTTGATTATAATGAATTTTTCAATAAATATTTTTTAAACTTGGCTTCTTAAACAGAGCTTAAAATGATTTAAAAGTTAATATTTTAAAAAGACTACATTTTTTAAACATTAATTTTTGCAACCTTTTACAAAAAAATTTTATACAATTTAAAAATATTATGTATTTTTCTTTCAATAATTTAATTTCACTTTTCAATAATTTAAATAAAGTTTGTTCATTTATTAAGCAATCATTAGAAGTAATTTGTAAAAGCTTAACTTAGATAAAGCGTTTCAAAAAATAAGTTTTAAAGTAATTTATTTCAAATACGATCAAAAAAGTTAACAAAAAATAATTTTCGCTTCGAATTTTGTGTTTTTTGAGTTTTATTTTTAAGATTATATATTTTCTCTTTGATAAAGAATTGTTATTTTTTTATTCATTAGTTTTTTTCAAACATTGTTTTCCTAGTTTAAATTTAGCTTAGCGCATTTCTGAAAAGCTTAAATCATCAAACATCTAAACAGTCGTGGTCAAGCTGCCTACAAAAAAAAAATCATTTGTGTGGTCAGCATTAGTGTTCAAACGCACACCATTTTTGTACAAGCTTGATGCTGTTCTTGAGTAATCAAATTTTTGTCAACTAGATGCAATAGGATAGCTTGTCTAACTTCATTTTCCAGTAGTTTGCACATAGCGGAGGTGTGACTGATAGGTCCATAATTATCCGGGTCAGTGGTCAAGCTTTTTTTGAATATAGGAGTAATGCTTGTTACTTTCCATGCAGTAGGAACTTGCCTTGGTCAAGTGATTGCTGAAACAATATGGCTAAAGGTTTTGTCCACTTGAATGGACAGCTTTAATAAGTTGCTCGACTTGATTAGTATTAATGATAATATTGCTGATTTTATTGTTAGTTTTGCTAAAAGGTTTGCCGAGTGCTGGAATAAGTGCTGAATTAAAGATGCTTTCAAACTGTTTGTTAATAATGATTGCTTATTGTTGTTTGTTGATTGTTAAAACAGATGTTATTAGTGTTAAATATACCCTAATGTTAAATATACCATAATGTTGAATTATACATTAGTGTTAAATATATCCTAGTGTTGAATTATACATTAGTGTTAAATATATCCTTAAATATGCCATTTTCTAATAATATCATTATTGATTAAAAAAAAGTTAAGCAGACAATTTTAAGATTTTGTTTCTATAAAAAAAACCTTATAGAGAAATATAATTTATGGAAATCTCCATTTACAAAAGGGACATAAAGCACTGTTTAGACAATATGCTCTTTACTAAAATTTGGTATATCTTCTTCTTAATGCGAAAGAGTGCATTCATCTTTTTTGAAGCAAAAATGTTTTTCGTATTTTGTACAAAATCACTTTGCTCCCAGTTATTTTAGTACCAGTAATGTTAGTACCAGTAATGCTGTTGTTAACCAGTATTGTTAGTCCAAATAATGTTAGTGCAAGTAATGCTAGTAAAAGTAATGTTAATGCCATTAATGTTAATTAATGGCATTAACATTAATAAACAAGTAATGTCAGTACAAGTGATGTTGTCCATAAAATAAAAACACTTTATATACTGATAGGCTTTAATAGTTTTTCAGTTTTAATTTACATAAACACTATACTTTATTTACATTACCACTAAATTTTAATTACATAACCACTAATTTTAATTTGCATAACCACTAATTTTAATTTACAAAACCACTGATTTTAATTTACATAACCACTCATATTAATTTACATAACCACTGATTTTAATTTACATAACCACTAATTTTAATTTACATAACCACTAATTTTAATTTACATAACCACTAATTTTAATTAACATAACTACTAATTTTAATTTACATAACCACTAATTTTAATTTACATAACCACTAATTTTAATTAACATAACTACTAATTTTAATTTACATAACCACTAATTTTAATTTACATAACCACTAATTTTAATTTACATAAACACTAACTTTTAATTAACATAACCACTAATTTCAATTTACATAAGCATTAATTTTAATTTACATAACCACTAATTTTAATTTACATAACCATTAATTTTAATTTACATAACCACTAATTTTAATTTACATAACCAAAAACTGGGATAGAGATTAGGTTTTTTGGCTTTTGTAGTGTAGTCCTATTATATTGCAATATTGACTAGCATGACGTAGAGTGCAGACGGTGAGATCTGTTGCAAGGACACGCCCCTGATGAGTGGCATTAGTGCAGGTCTCTGGCTCTCCGAAACGTCATTGGTGATCGCAGTGCATTCCTGAGGAGGGGGATCACTATTTATCCACTACTTTATTCTAATTGGTTATTATGGCACCAACATTTTTACCTCTTACACCCATGAATTTTTGCACTTTGTGAGCTTTATATTATGAATTTGTTACATTAACGACATATATATATTTTTATGTTACACAGGTGATTATCAGTTCTCAATTTTTTATCTAGAGTTTAGAGCATATTTAGTACCACATTTATTAGACATTTGTATGGTGCGGTTATTTTAGTTATGAATACCCAGCGGATTTTTATTGACTTGTTTACTTATAGATCATTGTTTTATCATTTGCTAAAAGATGACTAGAGTGTGAGTTTTGGTTCCACTCTTCCTGAGTTGCTAACTTTTACTCCTACTAAATAGTCTTTACATTAATTTATGTTTTTTTACTTAAATGACATCATCTTCAATCTGTTTTTATTTTCACATCTCCCAGCTCTACCTAACTGGATGGCTCCGTTGGTCACTTTTTGCGATCATTGTGTCGCATAAGCAAAAAAATTTATTCTTTGTGGCTGGTGAGCCCCGACTTTTTCCAATGTAACCACAACGACAAAACGGACATTAGGCTATTACGCTGGATGTGGTTAGGGTGCTCAATAACCTAATGACTACGCTGACACTCACGCACACGTTCAGTCAGAAGTCATCGGACCAGCGCTCGCTGACTATGTGCTCGGATCAAAATGGTCAAAAGGATCAAAAGTTCCTAAATTTTAAAATTTAAAAGATTATTTATAATGAAGAATACTTATTGAATACGGATCTGAAATCTCACTCCATAGCACATCATTCCACACTAGCACGGGGCAGTAGCTCTTTTGGCTAAGAGTGATGGCTTATGGCCTACGGTGACTAATGTGTGCATTCGATCAATTGAAATCCATTCTGTAGGTCTTACGTCTGGCTCTGATGTGCTAGCCCATAAGCGCAAGAAGTGAGTGTGTTTAGCTTTCTATTCACCTGATTTAAAACTGAACGGAAACATAACGAGACCATACTAGATGACAAACGGTACTTACTAATGCATTACACCATCACACCTGTAGACATCAACAGTCTTCAAAATCAGTATATCAAATACTTGTTCTTTGTTACCTATGATCTACACTCAGAGTGACTAGAGTGTTAGTTGGTTCTCTGCCTGCTTCCGAGCATTTAACTTCGTTCTTCACCTTTACAAAAGTCTTATCACTCATTTTATATTTTCTTATGATTTTTATTTTTTATTCAATTACACCATCTTTTAACTGTTTTTATTATCACATCCCTACAAAACTGGACGGCTCCGTTGGTCACTTTTTGCGATCATTGTGTCGCATAAACAAAAAATTTACATAACCACTAATTTTATAAATTTTTATAAAAGCACTAATTATAGCTTAACATGATGCAAATTAAAAAAAATTTTTTTGAATAACTTAAAAATTAAAACTTATAAAAAGTTAAATAAATTTATTATTAATTTCTTTTTTTAATATTGCATTTTTTGTTTTTGTTAGATGTAATCTTAATAAATGACTTGATATGGATGTTGGTTACTGGAATATGGGAAAGTTTCAATGGTTTGTTGTGCTACTATATCCACCAAGCTTTATTTTTATTGCGTCAATTACTTTTTATATGTTTGCAAGATAAAAAAAAGGTTAAAGCAGAATTATAATAAGAATAACTTAAAATAATTAATTACATATAAGAAACTAAATAATAATTTTAACGAATAATTTAATAAACTGCTACAATAAAACTTCTTTAAATATATTAAATTTCAAATGTATAGATTTTTTTACAATTCAAAGAAGAACTTCTTCTGTTTTGTGCTTTAATCATGGCAAAATCTAATGAAGTGGAAGTGTTGAAGGAGATTTTGTTATTTGGTAATTTTCTTTTTTAGTGTTGATAAGGTGATAGAGCCTGACTGATGTAGGATTTTTTTTTTTTGTAAATAAATTTTTGTATAGTTTTTAGTCTTATACCAGAATGTCTTCGAGATCTTACAGTGGAACAATCTAAATCTTTAATTTCTGTCCTTGTCTTTCCAATGTTAAAGTTACTTAGTGACCAACATTCTTGTTTTGAGAAATCAGATATTCATAGGATGATTTTGGATTTTTTTGGAAATATTGAGAATATACTTATTTGCGATTCCAAAGTTAATGTAAGCATTTTTGAACCCAAATGTATGTTTTCTTGCTCTATCTACTTTTGTGTTTATATATTTATATTAATGTTATATGTTATATATATATATATATGTTATGTTTATATATTTAGTTAAATATATATGTGTAGTGTTAGTTACAAATTTGAAGCAAAATAAAGAAGACCTTATAATTTTAGATACCACTAAGAAGTTTAAACATTTCTATTCAATATAGTAAAATCTTTAACATTTGTCATTCATCACTGTCTATGTTGACATTACTACACAGGTATATTTTTATAAATTGTGGATTTTTTCAAACATGTATTTTTTCCTCCTGGGACCAACAAACTGGAGAAACTTTTTTTAAGCAGTAAAACTTGAATCTTGATAGACAAACAATTTTTTTTTATTCATATAAAAATATGTCAAAAACGATTTTTTATTTATAACTTACACAATCATGCATGATGTTATATAAAAATATGATTTGAAGTTAATTTTTTACAAGATTATTCAAGTATTATTTTATTTGAGAATGTTTTTTAGTGATAATGCAATGACTAGCTCATGGTTAACTGATATCAACTTCATGGTAAAAAGCAGGAATACTCTGCCTAAAGAAAACATTATTTTGATGCTTTCAACAGTTTTAGTTATGCACACCAATGAAGAATTATTCAGAAAGGCTCTTCAAACTATTCTTGTTGTATGTCAACATGATATTAGCATGGTAATTATTTTTTTTAGTTATGATTTTATATCTTTTTTTAATTTTTTTTATGTGTTAGCCTAAAATTTTCAAAACTGTATTTATTCCCAAAAGCTTTTGCATAAAATCTAACATTTACAAAAATACTACACAGTGTTATTATATATTAATATTACACATTATTATTATATTAAACATAAGATTTTTTTTACTTTTGAAAATAGATAGTTTAGTAGTGAGACCATGGAAGTATAAGAGATAAAAGTGCAACACTATTGAAATTCCTAAAACCATGCGTGAAATCTTTTTTTCATAATACAATATAAAGTCGTAAACAATTTCTACTAAGTCGTACTTCTGAAGTATGTAAATACTAAACTTGCTAACTCAAATTTTTTCGATAAATTCTCTAAAATCAATCAAATTTTTTCAATAAAAAGAAAATCAATAAAAAGAAAATCAATTAAAAAAATCAATAAAATAACTTTAAGGTTCACCTTGCAGATATTTATATTATGTTTTAATATTAAAAAAAAATTAATATAATAATGAAAATAACAATAATAATAATTGTTCTGTGCAATTTACGAAAAAATATTATTTATTTATAATTATGTATACATATATAAAAAGTTTTAAAAAGGGTTACGTATTTCTAAGAAAAAAGATTTTATAACTTATCTAGGATAATTAAAATAAGATATCTAGGACAATTAAAACAAGATATCTAGGATAATTAAAATAAGATATCTAGGATAATTAAAATAAGATAACTAGGATAATTAAAATAAGATATCTAGGATAATTAAATTTTTATAATTAAAGAGATTAAATTTTACTCTAATTATAAATCTAAGTTAATAATATAATAATTTAAAATAGGCCAAAACTATAATAAAAAAAAACAAATTTAAGTTAAAAACAAACTTATCAAAAAGTTTGTTTTTAACTAGAACCCCTTTTTTCTGTATTGCATAATTAAACTTTGTTTATTTTGTATCCAGAAATTATATTCTAAATTATTTAAGAACTATTTAAGTATTTAAAAATTTTGCTTTAGGAACCAGCTTATAAAGATGTACAATAAAAAAACAAGATAGAGAAAAATAAAAAGCAAAACTGAAAAATTCTGTTTAAATTTCTATACAAAATTTGTTTAACAAAAACTAACTTTAAAGTATACAAATAAAATTGTGGTATAAAATAGATAATTATAGCTCAATTCATAATTATTCAATTTTGATAATGAGCATATGGTCGTGGTTTTTTCCTTGGCAAAGTTTGTCAGTAGTATTAACTTTTCAAACCTTTTGAAATCAAGTCGATCACCAGTGATATTCAAACTTGAAAAATTCAAATATTAGGGTTATTAAAGAAAACATTTTTAACTTTTTTTGATTTAAAAAAGTATGCACCTTTACTTCTGCAGCTAAATTTAGAAGCAATTTTGACTGTGAATATATTGAATACGCTCTTCTCTGAGTTTATGCCCTATTTAAAGACCAACATCATCATAAAACATGCTAAGATCCCATTCATATACATTTAAAATTTATGACCACGTCATCACATGATCGTTAACCTAAAAAAGGTTTTAAAGACATATTTTTAAGATTCATAAAATCATATCTATTTAAGATAACAATAATAATGATCATCATCATCATGATTGTCATCACCACCATCATCATAATAATAATAATAATAATCATTGCCATCATCATCATTATCATTGTTGTTATCGTCAAACTTACCACTAGATTTCGAGAATTTTGGTTCCAATCAGAGTTTTCAAAATTATTTTGGGTAGTTTTGATTAAATGAGAGACATCACAAAGTAGTATAATTTGTGATTATGCGAACTAAAAATATTTATAAAAATATTTTTTTCTTTAACTTTTTTTTCAATAAAACTTTAATTTATATTAATTAACAAAATTATTTTTGTCCAAAATGTTGATGTTAAACAACAAAATTTATGAAGATTAAGAAAAAAAAAAGGAGTTGAATTATTAACCTAAACATATCTCTAATAAACACTACTATCCTTGTTAACTATCCTTGTTAACTATCCTTGACATTTTTGTAACTTTTATAATTCAACTTAACAAGATGAATTATTAAAACAATTTGTATAAACATTATTTGCTAGCATTGAGTAAAACATTAATTTAGAATAAGTTAGTAGTTTTAGTGGTCCCAATGCATATCAGAAGGATGAAAACATCCCTCTAATAAACTGTTACATATTTTGTCAAACTTTCAATTTTATTTTTAAACTCGCCAAAAGTGCCATTTAAAAATCCCATTTCAATTAGGTCAACGTTTTTAGTTGTATTAAATACAAGAAAACTCTTGACTTTCATCTTATCAAGCACAAAAGAAAAAATTTCTCATGGTCTTATAAATTTTTAATATTTCCATTTAAAGTTATTCCTAAAATAGCATCAGTGTTATACCACATCCTGGATTAATAAAGTTTATGTGCTTCAAAAAAGTACTTTTAAAAAGAAGACGCATAAATTCTGATTTGCTTAAGTGTTTGTATGTCTCCTGACATTTTAGGCAAATGCTTAAACACCGTCTTGAAGCTCTTGCTAAATAGGTTTTTCAAAAGACATTCCCTCAAAACTTTGTGAGTATCAACACCAAAGATCAGCTTATCTTTTTTAATCAGCTAATTTACACTATGATGGAGTTAATGATATTTGCTCACTAATTTTTTAAAAAATTTTTCTTAGAATCTTTACTTTAAAAATCAGCTCCTTTGTCTTTTTAACAAATAATTAGTTATATAATTTAACATATATATATATAGTTATATAATTTAACATATATATATATATATGCGTGTGTGTGTGTGTGTATGTATATATATATATATATATATATATATATATATATATATATATATATATATATATATATATATATACACACACACACATATATGTATGTTAAATTATATAACTATATATATATGTTAAATTATATAACTAATTATTTGTCAACATTCCAGGTAACTTCTAAGCTAATTTTTATTTATATAAGCATGAAGTATCTGTTTAAAACATAAAACTTAAAATTTCAATTAATGATGTAAATAATATGCCATTTTTTTAAAAGATCATTCATTTGCCGAATATTTATATTTTACGCATGGTTTTTGTGACAGTATTTGGAACCTTTGATGTGTTCAAGTGTTGCACTTTCATCTATAATACTTCCATGGTGAGACTGAGTTTATAGGCAATTTTCAAGCAATCGGAATAAAAAATCTTAGATCAATAATCAACACTTTGTAAACTTAAATGTTTGTTTTAAATCCTTTGTTTAGCTGAGCTTAAAAAAAATAGAGATTGGGTTCTTGTTCAATAGAGACGTTCTGTATTCAAGCTCCCATATCTATACTAAGCTATAAATATATATATATATATATATATATATATATATATATATATATATATATATATATATATATATATATATATATATATATATATATATATATATTCTGTATTCAAGCTCCCATATCTATACTAAGCTATAAATAAATATATATATATATATATATATATATATATATATATATTCTGTATTCAAGCTCCCATATCTATACTAAGCTATAAATATATATATATATATATATATATATATATATATATATATATATATATATATATATATATATATATATATATATATATATATGCTGACTTGAATACTTTAATTATAAACTAAGGATTTAAATTAAATCACAAGCAATCACTCTCTCTAGCAACCAAGCCTTTATAGCAATCAATTATTATTAAAAAATCATGCTCATAATTTTGTTATAGGTTATGAACTTTTTCCCTCTTTTACTCTATTGTCTGAGGAGTGACAGATTTAAAAAAGTCAAGTTAGATGTTTTGTATATTATACCAGAATTGGTGCTACATAAAGTAAGTAATTTCGCTTGTATTAATTTTTGTTAGTTTTAAATCTATCATGAAAAAAATAATAGCAAATAAAAAATAGTAAATACAGTTAAATAAAATGTAATTATTACTACAGTTGTTGATTTTTTTTTTAATGAGTTATAAAAATGTAAAGTCTAATTCACATTTTTCTAAAAGAAAGAGTAATCAAGAATTCCAAACCAAGTATTATTCATCATTCATTAACCTTTCTTTCTTCTGATCCATTTAAATATTATTTTTTACTTAAGTTGAGTATAAATGTTTTTGTTTAATGGAGTGTAATATCTAGACAAACAGTTAAAATCTAAAAACATTACTCTTTGTTTATTGCTTTAGTAAATAGCCTGTCAATGCTCCAGAGGATTAAGTTGAAAATTTATTTAAGACAATGCATTATTGTTATAGTTTTACAAATTATTGGGAATTTTTATTAAAATTATCCTTTTCAAAAAAAAAAAAAAAAAAATGTCATTGAATTTTAGGTATTTTAAACCCATTAGAAATTCCATGTTATACAGTGCCATTGGGCTGGCTAACACCCTGCAATCTTTGTTCTTAAGCTGAATATTAAGATATTAAAATAAGATTTTTGAAGGTTAATTTTGACTATTAAACTAAAGATTTTTGAAGATAATTAAGATTAATTAAAATGATTGAGCAGGATTAGTGGATTAAAATCTTTTAAAATACAAATAAAAAAGTAACGAAGTCCTTTTAATTTAAACTAAAGATAAGCTTTTTGAAGATAATAAGATAAATAACTAAAATTAATTAAGATCTTTTGAGTTCTGCTGAAATAGTGGATTAGCACTTTTCATTTAACAAATCAATTTGCTATATAAAGTTGCCATTCCAGTAGAGGGATGTTATCTAACATTGTTATCTACCAGTTTACTGAAAGTTCTCCTTAAAGTTACTTATAATGAATTTAGTTTTAGTTGAAACAAATATGAAAAATGTGATTAGAGTCCATATTTAGTAAAGTCCAATCCAATAATAATAATATTTTTCTGTTGAGAACTTTTTTCAAATATACCATTGTTATGTAGCAAAGTATGACAATGATAAGCATCAAAAGCTTTATAGAAGTCAGAACACAATGTGAAAAAAGTTTAGTTTCTTTAAATTTAGTTTCTTCTTGAGTTTTTTTTAATTTTGCAACTGTTATAGTTGCTGTTGCATTTTGTAAAATTGGTTTTAAAATCTTAAAAAAATATTTTTTTTTAATTATTGTTGTGTTAGTAATTTGTTTTAATATTTTATTTAAAACAATTTTTTATTTTTTTATAGATACTTGTAGGTATTGCATTAAAACTTGTTAAATCACTTTCGATGAATCTTGCACTGTTTCCACTAGCTGTAAAACTTGGTGTAGAAATTTGGAAAAAGCAAGTAAGCTAAATATTTGTAACAGAAACTTTTATTGAATTGTAACTTTTTTGCCTTTTACTCCTTTCATCAGGGAATAATAACTTTCATCTGGTTTAAGAAATCTTAAAGCATTCAAGAAATTTATATGACCGCTATAGTACAATGATATAATTGTTTGGTATACATATATAACATGATAGGCCATATTTATAAAATATGATATAGTTGTACAATATAGTCACACAACATAATATGCAAAAATTGGGTCCCTTTATCTCTCAGCACAAAGATCATAACATGGTTGTTAAGTGCAGTTTTGATATTATCAAAATTTATATATTTATAATTACGTCAAATAAAAATGCTTTGCAAAAACTTGCGATGATGATTGTGTGCCTGTGTCTTTGTTAGAAAAAACACAATGTGATTTTAGTTAATATTATTATTTTTTTTTTTTTTTTAATTTTTTTTTTTTAAACATCTTCGCTTCCATCAAGGCTGCAAGCAACCACTTATTAATGTTGGAAGTTACTGGAAGAGAAAAGATGAAGATTGTAGAGCGAAATAAGGATTGAAAGACGACTTAAGAGATAGCAAATTATATGAATCAGGAGAGCAAGATGAAGGAAGCGAATTTCAAAGAACTGATGTTCGAGGAAAAAAACTAAACGAATAAGAGTTTTTAGAGCACTTAAAAACAATAGCAGAAAAAGGATGAGACTTAATTGAATGACGAGTAACACTAGAATAAATTAAAATAGATGGCACAAGAGATGCTAGCTCTTTAGAGCAGTGCCCATTATAGTATTTGTAGAAAAGAGAAAGAGAAGCAACATTACGATGATGTGACAAAGGTTGAAGTTTGGCTGCAAGAGCAGGTCCAACTATGTTTACAATGCGTTTTTGCACCTTGTCTAAAAGAGAAAGGGCATCATTAGAAGATCCACCCCAGATATGGCAACAATATTCCATACAAGGCCGGATTTGAGATTTATAGAGATAGAGAATAGAATCCAGTGCAAGAAAGTGTTGAGCTTGATAACAAGATGCAACTTTAACAGATGCTAATTTTGCAACGGATTTGATATAAGGTTTTCAAGAAAGATCAGAAGTAAGAGTTAATCCTAGAAGATGAAGGGTAGATGACTTATCGAGTACATTACCGTTCATAAATATTGTGATAACGATTGGCTGAAAAAGTTGAGTTTTATCTGAATTAAAGTTCTCCAGCCACAGTGAGCGCCATGCTGTAGCAGAAGTGAGATTTTTTTCAAGCTCAAATGCCCCCTGCAAGCAATCAGAGGGAGTTGGCTTCTTATCGTGACAAGAATAAATAGTAGTATCATCAGCAAACAATGCCACTTTGATGTGAGAATATCTGGAAGATTGTTAATGTAAATTAAAAAAAATATAGGGCCAAGGATTGAACCTTGAGGAGCCCCTGAGGTTACAGAATAAGAAGAAGAGTGCTGTCCAACTTTTATACTACGATTGGAAAAGAAGGATTCAATAATCTTAAAGATGTTTTCAGATACACTGTAAAAAGAAAGCTTATGGAAAAGACCAGCATGCCAAATTTTATCAAGCGCTTTAGAAATGTCAAGAGCAATGGCCTTAACCTCTCCACCTTTACCTAATGCGTGACAAAACCTATTGGTTATTACTGTTAGCAAATCAGCCGTAGAACAAGAAGATTGAAATCCATATTGATGATCAGAAAGTAAGTTATTAGATTCAAGATGATAGATTAAGTGTTTGTTAATTAAAGATTCAAAAACCTTGCTTATGATAGAAAGAAGACTAATTGGACGGTAGTTCGACGAATCAGATCGCTCTTCAGGATTTTTAAAAATAGGGATAACAGATGCTGCTTTCCAGCAGGCTGGAAAACAAGACTCTGATAAGCACTTGTTGAATAGTTTTGAAAGGATAGATGACAGCTCCAGAGAATAGTTCTGCAAAAGTATAACAGGTATGTTGTCCGGGCTGCAAGCTGTAGAAGAGTCTAAGCAGGAAATCACTTTAAATACAAAAGCTGGAGTGATACGGATGTTGAGCAACGGATCAACCTGTTTGACAGCTATATCAGGTAGAACGCAACTAGTGGAATCAAGAGATGATATTGATGAAAAGTTCTTAGCAAACAATTCAGCTTTGTCTTTAGGTGAGGTGAAGTCTGAACCATACAAAAGAGGTGGAATTACAGACTTGCCCTTATTATTGATACTATTAAAGATTCTCCAGAAGTCACGAGAGCCTAATTTTTGTGATGAAATATGAGATTTCATGATCTGAGAATAGCGGGCTTTGGGGTTAGACAAAACCTTTTTACAATGGTTCCTAGCAGTAATAAACAGACGTCTGTTTTCTCGAGAATTGTTTTGCTGATAGATATGGAAGTAATGGTTTCGATTGGCAATTGCAGCAGCACAATGTGAGCAAAACCATGGAAAAGAGTGAGGCTTGACCTGAAATCATTGAGAGGGAATAAAAGATTCCATGCCAGCCTGAATCCACGAAGTTATGTAAGAAGCATATTTGTCAACAGGAAGACGAAAGATTTCTACCCAAGGGTCATCACGAAGAAAATCACGGAAAGAGTCCCAGTCAGCTTTAAGGTAGTTGTAAGATGTACAATGATAGGGGGATTCTGATGATAAAGAAGAATGAGATAACAGTTTTAGAGAGACTAAAACATGATCTGAAGCGCCTAAGGTTGATTGTGGAGAAACTGAGCACTGACTAGGATCAGAAACAAGACATAAGTCGAGTAGAGAAGGTAAATGATTCAGGTTGTCTGGAAAGCAAGTTGGAAAGTTGACTATTTGAGTTAGGGATTGAGAAAGGCAAAAGTTGTGGGCTTTAATGCCTGCAGAGTCACTGACACTAGAGCCAAGCCATTCAGTGTGATGAACATTAAAGTCACCGACAACAACAATATTGGCTGATGGATAAAGAGAGAGGGCTTGGTCAATATGATCAGAAATAACATCAAGAAGAGTGCAGTCTTGAGATGAAGGAGAGCAATATAGAACAAAGAGAAAGGTGATATAGTGAAGTGGTGCTAAGCGAAAGCACATAAAAGAGTAGTCTGTGAATTCAAACCTAGTTTCCTGACAAATGGGTAAATTCTTATGAATGTAAATGCTAAGATCAAGCATGTGACTATTGGAGTCTTTACAAATTAAAGGAAGATAACCATCAACACTAAGATAGCAAGATGAGACAGCTGAACTCAAATTAGGCTCACAAAGAGCAAGTAGGTCTGGTGAACTTTGCAAGAAATAAGACACAACAGAAGAAAAGTTGCTTTGAAGACCACGAGTATTAGTGAATGATAGGTTTAGTGAACTCGGTGATGACTGTGGTTTTTTGTGTTTTATAGTTTTTGTGACTTTAGTCATTTTTAAATTTGTTAAAGAACTTGACTTGAAACATAGATAGTACTCAGTACACTGTTTTATAGCCCAAGCAATTGCCTCATTACTATTAATAAACCCTAAGCCATAACAAAGAGCTTCAATGTGGCCTTGGCAATGCAGACCAAAAGTACAAACAGGGACACCATGTGCAACATGTCACTGTTAGTATTTTGGTATTTTTCAGCTGTTGATGGAACCATCCTCTCTGAGTGCTACCTATTAAAAATACATCTGCGCCAGCCTATTAGATGAAGAAGGGGTGTGAGGCTGGTCAACTTATAGAATCTGTTTACCCCTTTAGTCTTTGCCTAGAATATAAAATAGAAATACAATGTGATTTTAGTTATTATGACAATTATTATATGAATAGTAAACTTTATTTACTCTATTTACTGATATTATTTTATTGAATATTTTTTCTATAGTTATGATTATTATTGTTATTTTATTTTATTTTTTTCAGCCACGTGTATTTCCACATATTTTACAGTTATTTTATATAAAATTTGACAAACCATTTGAATCAAAAGTGTGGTATGAGTGTTTACTTGCAAAAATTAATGCTGCCTATGAAATTTGTGATTCTGGGTAAGATTTGAAAACTTATTACTTATTAATTATTTATAGTTGTGGTCCAGACAGGTTAAAAAACAAACTACTAAAAACAAAATAAGTACTTTTAAATGTAAGTGAAAACAAAATAATTACTTTTAGATTTAAATGTATTTAAAACAATTACTTTCAAAATCTAAAAGATAAAATTTAATATATATAAAAGCAAAATTACTTTTAGATTTAAGTAAAAGTAAAGCAAGTACTTGTAGATGTAAGTGTATCCAAAACAATTACTTTTAGATTTAAGTGAAAGCAAAGCAATTACTTTTAGATATCAGGGCTAACAGAACAATGGTTTTTTATCATGATTTTTATTAAAAGATAAATACTTTGTTTCAAAAAATTCCTATCAATTAAATAAAAAGCTAACTAAATATACATATTTATATGGTATGCAATTTTTTTATGTTCAAGTTTACACCCAACAAGGCTTTTACTTGTTGCACAACAAAAACAATACACCTCACCCTGTTCTATTTTATGCTATGTAGTAAAAATTACATAAACTTTAAAAAAATCTTTTTTCTTTTTATGTTATTACAATATTCACATTTTTCAATCTTTCTTAAAATTTGTTATTTTATATTATTTGGATAACTTTTTTCTTTACCAATCGTTAATACTGTTTAGAAAAGATTTTCTGTTAACCAATCATTACCAGCAAACATTGTTTTAGTGGATTTGCAGTGGACCTGTATAAGCATTTTTAGCAGTTTATTGGAGTTTTGCTCATTGGTTACTTAGTGGACTGTTAGTGGTAGAGCTATATATGGCAAGCTAATAATTTTCCAACATGTTAATTATAGCTAGTCATCGGCTAGCTACTTTTGGCAGCTGCCGCTAATTGTCCACTAAGTAACTGATGAGCAAAAATACAGCGGTCTGCTCAAAGTGCCTATAAAGGTCAAGTGATATAAAATGTTTGCTGGGTTTACATTGTTTAGAAAGAACTTTTCATTAACCAAACATTAACATTGTTTAGAAAGAATTTTCCTTTTTTTTTTCATTATCTTCACTTCCAACAATGCTGCAAGCAACCACTATTAAAGTTGGAAGTTACTGGAAGAGAAAAGATTATAGAGCAAGATAACGATTGACAGTTGACTTAAAATATTGTAATTTATTTGAATCAGGAAAACAAGATAAAGGAATCAAATTCCAAAGATCTGATGTTCAAGGAAAAAAGAGGCGCTAGCTCTTTAGAGCAGTGTTCATTATAGTATTCATAGAAAAGCAAAAGAGAAGCAACATGACAATGTGATAATGGTTGGAGGTTGGCTGCAAGAGCATCTCTAACTATGTTTACAATGCGTTTTTGCATTAACCAATCATTTACATTATTTAAAAAGAGTTTTCCATAAACCCATATTAACATTGTTTAGAGATATTTAAGATAGTATTTAAGGTAACTAATAGTATGCAGCAGTTTGCATGTTATAACTTGGTGGTGTCATTAAACAATAATTATCTTAATAAGACTTTAAAATTTAAACTGTTCATAAATTTAAATTTTTAGTCTTTGGTGCATCTAAATTGTCCCTATTTTCATAAAAGTCACGATTTATACATAATAAAAAATAATATGCACCAAATCATTCTGATTCGCTCTCTTTTGTTTTGTATTGTTTAAAGTTTTGTTTTGTAAATTATTCCAAGGATTATGATGCTGTATTTTGTAGGTCAGCTCATGGCAAAGATATGGTTGCTGTTTTAAGTTCTTCATTAGATATGCTTAACGCAGATTGTAATGTAAAGTTTAGTGAATATAAAGATTCATGTTATTCGTTGCTAATAGAAACGCTAAAATCATTATGTTTAAACAAAGTATGTGCTCATTTTCTTTGTTTGTTTGTGTGTTTCTGGTCAAGTTTTTTCAAGTTGATTTTTATTCGAATGGAAGTTTTTTTAATTTATGGAAACTACTTGATATATAGTAAATGAGGTTGTTTCTATTTTTTATTTACTTTTTATTTTATTTCTAGGTAGTAACTGTGGAATCTATTTGGAAAATTATTAATACTAAAGTTCAGTCAAAGAAGTCTGTTTCAGTATTATGTAGCATATGTTCCCTTTTAGCTTGTATACCTATTGTAAGATGTAAAAGTGTGGTATGTTTTTAGTTACATTTAGTACATTTTCTAAAAGTTAAAAAACAACTAGGTTTTAGTATTGAATGTCAAATCATCTAAATTACTAAATTACATCTAAAATTTTAATTTTTTAGTTGGAAAAAGTGTACCAGACTATGTAATAATAACTTCAAATACTTTTTATAAAATTTTTGAAATTCTATAACATTAGTTGATAAATATTTACTTATACTATTTTGTGTTTTAAAAAATTGTAAGGATTTGAACCATGGCGGTTTACTTCAGAAATGCTGCAAGTTAACCACTTTAGCCACTAAGGTACATTGTTCGATAAATGTTTTAACACTATTTGATAAACAAAAAACTTTATCAAATTGCAAATAATTGCTATAAATCAAAATTAAGAAGATATTGTAATGGCTATCGTGAGTTCTGCGCAAACATGCACAAATTAGTAATGGCAGCAGCATTAAGTTCAGTATTAAAATACTATAGGATCACTTGAATATATCTGTTATTGGATTTAATTTGAAAAAAAAGTTACTAGAAAACATATTTTCTAGACTAGTATTGAAAAAAATACCAAAAAAAATTAGGTGACAATAAGTTTGATAATCCACAGTATGTTCCATGTCAACATGTTCTGGACAGTGTTTTGAAGTTAGTTATTGGTTCTGTATGTCCTTAAAAATCTACCTCACATGATTTACAATGTTCTTTTATTAAATTCCTTTTTAAAAATCACAAATATCTTATAATAGCATTTGACAACAGTAGTCCTTGACAACAGTTGTCCTTCTTTGAAAATTTTAGAATGGAGTGATGGTATGAAATTGCTCTACAATCTGTGCGAAGCATATATCTTTTTTTTTTTTTCTTTTTTTTTTTTTTAAAAATGCATATTTACTTTAAATTAATTTTTCTTATTCATTACCATCACTTCATTTTGCAAGATATAATTTTTAAGTTGTTAACTCATCTAGAGAATAACTAGATTTGTTATTTTTTGTTTTTAATTGGCACAATATATAAAAAAAGATAATAAAAAAAAGTGATTTTAGTGATCTTGATGAAGATATCAAGAAAGTTAATAATTGCCAGAAAGCTCTTGTTTAAAGACATATTTGACTATAGAACAATCAAAAAACTTCATTTAAAATTTGTTTTGTGTATTATTAAAAACTGAAATTTAATTACACACTACAAATTAAGAAAATTAATTTCAAACTCCAAATACAAATACAACATAGTGGGTGACATTTTTTAAAATTTATACAAATAAATATGATTTTAAGTTATTATGGATATATTTTCATTAAAAAATAATATAGGACATGTATGTTGTAATAAAGTGAACACCCAACTGTGTGTACCCCAGTATAAAAAGATACCAGAAAATGTTAATACCTAATTATACTAATTTTACTAGAAAATGTGTCTGTACAACTTTTACAAATTAATATATAAAATTTCAATTAGGTTTTTTTTATGTAATAGATCCAACAAGAAGTGATTTCATATCTTTGGATACTTGTACAAAGCAGTAAGGTAGTATGAGTATTTATATTAATATCACTGAAAACTGGATACGTGAAAAACTAAACTGAACGTGTGTTTCGTTGTGTGACTATTTAGTTGTGTTTGAGTGGTTGGTTAGTCTTGTGTCTCCAACTGTTTATTTTTGTAATAGATTAATGCAGTCATATCAGCAGCTTATTTTTCACTTGCGGAGTTTCCTTTGGAAGAAATGAAAGTTAAATACTTGCCTGAGAAGGTATTTTGTTTAAAGAAATAATGTTTGTTGTTGTTTTGTTTAAAACAAATAATTATAAAGTTTTATTTAACAGCCTTCCGAAATAATATTTTCCAATGGTTTCTTGAAAAATTATTTCATAAATCAGCCCTTGGAATGGTGGCGCTAACTCCGAGGGCTAATTCAAGAAATAATTTTTAAAACATTAGATAATATTAGGAATTATAATTTTTATAAACATGCAAAAATTTAGAAACAATTTTTTATTTTTTATGTTTTCTTTTTAGAATTTTTTTTCTCTTTTTTTTTTTTGTACTTAGTTGTTAAACCTTCTAATATATTTTCACTTAAAAATAAATTTAAATGATTAAAAAAAATAATAACTATAAAATAAATTGATTATATATGTTGCTAATTGCAAAATTTTGTATTTTATTTAGTAGATCAATACATTTGTTCTTAATTGCGCAAGCAGTTAACCACAGATTTTTTGCCTAATAATAAATCTGTTTTTTTACAGATATTTATATTGCTTCTGCGACACGATTGCATAGAACCCATAGAAGCATCCAGTCAAGTAGACATGGATTCTAAAATTAAAATTAAAAAATTTGTTATTTTACTGGTATTTTTAGGCCTACTAGTTATGATTTTATAGCTCTCTTCAATGTAAAGGTTTCTTAATTGCAATAAAATCCTACTTATTGTCTTTCTTGAGCGTTTAGTACAATCATAAGTAATGTTTATAGAAATGTTACTTATGATTGTATGTTACTAATAGGAACATTTGCTGGAAAAAGTGTTTAAAAAAAGCAATTTTTTCTGTTCAACAAAAACATAGCAACAGGTCAGCTCAGAAGAGTGTCATGAAAATCAGTCAATGATTTTTCATGACACTTTACTGGGTTTCGATGTTTGCATACGAATCATAACTCCAAATGGAACTGTCAAATGTAAGATGACTCAATTTGGTGTGTCAGAAATCAAATTTTACTTTGTATGTTTTTTCCAGAGATGGAAAAAGTAAAAAAAAAATTATACTTAAGTAAAGTACTGTTATTAAAAATTTTACTCAAGTTTTAGTATTGGTTACCGTTCGAAAAGTTTACTTAAGTAAAAGTAAAAAGTAGCTTATTAAAAATGTACTCAGAGTAAAAGTTACTGCGTATAATGGTTGTAAAAAGTAAAAAGAAACCAAGCTAAAGCAGTTAAAACTCGTTATAAGTGCGCTCAACATTTTTTTCTAAACAATTTAAAAGTGTCATTTTTATTATAGTGAGCAAAACTCAAAAAAATTAAACCATAGTATTTGTGAAATTAAACAATACATAATAATTTTTTTACTCAGTAACACTATGATTTCAAATGTAGCAAAGTACAATACTTAATAAAAAAATACTTAAGTAAAAGTAAAAGTACACATTTAAAAAAATACTTAAAAAGTAGAAATTCTCAAAATAACTACTTAATTACAGTAACGTGAGTAAATGTAATTCGTTACTTTCCACCTCTGGTTTTTTCCATAAAAAAATAATGTAATGGGAAAAAGTTTTTTTCACTTGAAGTATATTTAATAGTCTAAGATATCACAGTTTCACATACCAATAAAATTAACAAATTTTAGGATATCACAGTTTCACATACTAATAATTTTAACAAATTTTCTTCCAACAAGTCACTACAATTTAAGTTGGGAGTCACTAAAGAGTAAATTAGAGAGTTTAAAAGCAATAAAATTAATTAAGTTAAAACGACAATAAACTTTAAAAATTGTTTGAGTCACAAAAATATAAAGCCATGACAACAACAGTTGCAGTAAAAGGATGCAACTTTGCTGAATGACAAGTCATGATTTTATTTTGTTTGATGGCAATGGTAGGTTGCTGTAGTATTTAGACTGCTTTTTTATTAAAAGGATTGATTATTAAAAGAATTGATTATTTATTAATTTTATTTTGTGTCGTGTTTCTTCCTATTTTCATCTACAAAAGTTCATTTGTAACTCTGATCAAATTACTGACCAACTTAAAAAAGCATCTAAGCAATCTCCTCATTTGCAAGGTAATTCAGTGTTGGGGTTAGTAGGATTAGCTCATGCAGTTTCTAACTATGAGGAGAATAATGATAAATGTGAAGGGAATGCCGATCCATACTTATCAATGCGAACATGGTTACTATCAATGCGAACATAGTTAAAACGACAATAAACTTTAAAAATTGTTTGAGTCACAAAAATATAAAGCCATAACAACAACAGTTGCAGTAAAAGGATGCAACTTTGCTGAATGACAAGTCATGATTTTATTTTGTTTGATGGCAATGGTAGGTTGCTGTAGTATTTAGACTGCTTTTTTATTAAAAGGATTGATTATTAAAAGAATTGATTATTTATTAATTTTATTTTGTGTCGTGTTTCTTCCTATTTTCATCTACAAAAGTTCATTTGTAACTCTTCTTCTTTGTGAAATTTTTTTTTCTATTTTGAAAAAGTTTAAAAATCGCATTGAAGTAGCTTAAACCAAGAGAACGACTAATTATACAAAAAGGCTTTTGTAATTAAAACTTCAACAAGCCCGATACTTAAAAATTGTTTTTGTATTATATAATTCAAACTTAAACAAATTTCTAAACTGTATAATAAAAGAAGACTTTAAGTTATTGAATATGTGCGCATCTATAATTCTCCCTTTGATTAATTTGTATTTTAAATACTAAATTAAAAGCGTAATAATAAAAATATTGTGTATTAAAAAGTTCTTTTTTTTTTAGAATAAATAGTTTGGGTAGATTAAATTTTATATTTAATTTTTAAAAAGTTTTAATTTTAAAAAATAAGAATAAAAATTTAAATAGCTTTTTAAAAACAAGTAAAGCTCTATAGTTCTTTGTTGTTGTTGTTGTTGTTTTTTTTACAATATGGTTTATAAGTCATTTGAACTTATCAAGTTTATTTAAAATTAATTATGTCAAAACATTAAAAAAAATTTCCATTAACAAACTTTTTTTACACTAAAATGACACTCAAAAAAAATGTAATAATGAATAAAGATTTTTTTTATTATATCCAAGTTACATGGTACTTATTAAAGCGATATTTTATTTTAAATGTACTAGATGTTTTTTACTACACAGGTGTGGATTCAAGCACAGGCCGAGACATGCTATTATTATACTATACTAAGAGTGCTTTCTTTTTTCAACAATACTCTATTTTACTATTTTATCTCTTTTTTTTTTAAGTTTAAATTTCTTTCTTCTATTCGGTTTGATGGCTCAGTTTAGTCCTTTAAATATTTATTTTTTTTAAATATTTTTATTTTTTTAAATACTAATTTAAGAATGTATTGTTATTAAAAAAAATTAACATAAAATAGATAATTTATGAATAATAAATATATTTTGTTTTCCAATTAAAAAAAAGGTGAGAACCGTTGTTTGCGATCAACTAAAAGCTTTGATCAATCAAGATTCAGATGAAAACTTTTTTCCGTTAGAAGAAGTTATTCCTGGTTTCGGATTTTCTCTACTATTGCATGAGACAGAGAAAGAAGTAATGTCTGGTATGAAATAGTTTGCTTTTACCCATTGTTTATCAGTAGACTATTTTGTATATGCAAAGTAATAAATTTCTTTTAAGGGTTTAGCACTTTCTTGTCATCTATGCTGAGTCAAGAAGTAGCTAATCTACCAAGAGGTATTGGAAAAAAAGGTCACCTCATTTTAAATCGATCCATATCTTCACCAATTGTGAAGTTTTTGTCTGATAAATATGAACAATCAAATAGGCCTGGACTGCTGCCTGGTCTTGCTGGTATTTTTTAAATCTATTTTCACTTTTAAAAACTATTTACAGATTGATTGGTTTTTTGTAAATAAGTTTTAAAATCTTTTTTATTAAAAGTATAATTTTCGGTTATTAAGTTGCGTAAAGAACACATAAATTTAATTTAAATCTAACATTCTTATCATAGAGTAACACTAAGTTGAATTTAAATCTAGTTTTATGCTTTAAAATTTTTACATATTGATATTTTGTATTCTGTTTTAATATATTATTTGTGCATTTTTTATACAATACTGTATTATAATATTTCATTTTTACATTATGATAATTCATGGTTTTATTTTATTATTTCATAGCTGCATGATGACATGTAATAAACACATTTTGACGTTTTCTAGCTGGATTATTGTGCTGCTATGTACCATATATTCATGGTATGGACAGAGAAAATCCCTCAAAAGTTCATTTAGAGATACAAGCAGGGAGGTACAAACAAATGTTGGAAAATCTTCTACAAGACTTTGCAATACAACAAAATGATTGGCATCATGCTATGCTTGCTCCTCAAAGTTGGTGTCATTTCATGAAAAATCTGTATTTAGTTTGTATCCAGGTAAAATTTGATAAAAAAAAATATTTAAAAGTGAATGACTCAATGTAATGTAAAATCGACATTTTTCATTCAAACAGAAAAACTGATCAAAAGAACTTACATGGATGAACTTACATAGATAAACTTACATAAATGAACTTATATAAAATTTTAAGAAATTATTATCGACATTAACTACTATACTATTTCAACTAATTTATAATTTGCTTGTTCTTTTGCATAATTAGAATCATTAAAATATTAAACAAACAAATTATAAAAAAATTTTAAAGAAAATTTAAAAAAAGTTTGCATAGTGCCAAAATCAAAGTAAAAAAAAGTTTAATTTATTTGTTCCTTTTTACCAACAGGGCAGAAAAGCAAACTTAGAAATTTCAAAAGAGAAAAAGTTAATATCAGATGAGGAATTTCAAGAAGATTCCAAGTCTATAAAGTTTTGGGTTCGTGATCAAATTACTGACCAACTTAAAAAAGCATCTAAGCAATCTCCTCATTTGCAAGGTAATTCAGTGTTGGGGTTAGTGGGATTAGCTCATGCAGTTTCTAACTATGAGGAGAATAATGATAAATGTGAAGGGAATGCCGATCCATACTTATCAATGCGAACATGGTTACTTAAAGTTGCTGATACTATCATGGTAGTCTTTGATGGTAATTTTAAAGCAAAATCAATTCCGTTTCAATGGTGTCAACAGGTATGGTCATCATTTTAAAATTGATATAATAAATTAGTTTTCATTATTTATGGATATTAGCATAAATTATATGTAAAATAATGAATTTATAGACTAAAATAAAATCTCTAAACTAAAGAAAACAAAAAAAAAAAACTCATATAATTTTTTTTTGGTTGTAACTAGGGCTTATCAAAAAACTGGAAAGTTTAGAAAACTGGTTTTCAGTTTTATAAATTGTAAACCAGAGTAACAGGGTAATTGGTTTTACATCAATTTTTTAATTATAAAAGCAAATTTTTATTATTGCCATATAATACCAATATAACCTGAATATAAATATCCCACAATATAAACTGAATTTATATACTGGAATCTGTAAACTAAAGAAAACAAAAAAAGTCTAAGAAAACAAAATTTAGCAAAATCATTTTTTTAGCAATAAAACCACGGTTTAAAGTGCACTGCAAATAGCAAACAATATGATAAAATAATTTTGAAAATCATGTTTTAAATAAAATAATATCTATTATCCAACATAATTATAACTCAATAACCTATTTTTTATTTTTGTACTATTCATAACTAAATATACTATTCTCTACTGAAAACTATGCATGTGTTTGTTTACAGAAGTTTTATGTAAAAATTTATAATATTTAAAGTAATATAAAAGTCAAAATTACAAAAAAAAAATTGTTGACAACTAATTTATTATTGTTGTTTACTTATTTTAATTTGATCTTAAATTAAATTTAATACTATTTTATTTCAAAGATGGGGTGCAAGATTTTGAGATTTAACAATCTAAAATTAAAATAATTTAATAACAATAACAAAAAGTTAAACAACAATTGAAATAAAGTAACAAACGAAAATATGAAAACAAAAAAAGTTGATAAAATACTTCAAGTTAAAAAAATGTTGAAATAATCAAAACTGTTGTTCAACGCATTTAGAAGCCATTTTGTTTTTAATGTTTTTATTACTTATCAACAATCTTAACGTTTTTACAACAAATTTGTTCACTATATATAGTATTTAAAAATTAAACTTGTGACTCTTGTCAACAATTAGTGGTCGTTATACAAAATATTATAATAATAAAAAATCACAACTTGTGACTTTTGTCAATAATTAGCACGCTAATTACAGTATCGTCCACAATTATTTTCGTCGCGTCCACAATTATTTTCGTTTGTCCATAATTATTTTTAAATCAAAACACTTCAAGCCATAATGACTAACAACAACTCAATAATCCAAATATCGAAATGGCTGAAGAAACAAAAAACAAAACAGCAACGGAAGAAAATATTGCTACAATAAAAAGAATGTTGATTGGCAACGAATCAAGTCGATCTATTGCAAATGCAACAGGTCTTTCAATTAGGACAATACAAAACTGGATACGAAAGCTTGAAGCAGACCAAAATATAATACCAAAAAAACGTGGCAGAGCTGCACGAAATAATATTGAAAGAAAGAGAGAAATCGAGTTATTATTTAATGCAAATAATGCATTAACTACTATTGCCATTGCAGAGTTAATGCCAGAAGAACATAAATGCTCGACAACTACAATCAAAAGAGAATTAAAACAAATGGGATATACCCATAAAAGGCTTAAATCGATCGTTGTTGCAAGAAATTCAGCTCAAGTAATAGCAACGAGGTTTATGTTTTGCAATCATGTTTCTTTTCTCCGAAATTCAGATCTGGTCTATATTGATGAAACTGGGTTCAATCTGCATGATTCACGACATTATGGATATGCATTATTAGGAAGCACCCCGTTTGTTACAGTGCCCACACAGAGAGGAAGAAATGTTAGCCTAATATGCGCTATTTCAGTTACAGGGTGTATTGGATTTAAACTAAAGATTGGAGCCTTTAATACCAGTAGCATGCACGACTGGATAGAACAAGATTTAAGACCAGTTTTAAGTGATCGCAGATATGTTGTAGTAATGGATAATGCGCGATTCCACTATTCATCAATAGTAGAATCTGCATTTCGAGAAAGTAATTGTACTATCCAGTTTTTACCACCTTACACTCCTCAACTTAATCCTATCGAGGAGTTTTTTTGGCATGGTTAAAAATTTATTTAAAGGAATACAACCGCGGCCTAACAATTCACAAGAAATGATTAAAATTATTACTGAGATTTTATCAGGTTTTACCGAATATTCTTTTGAGAATTATTATTCTCACATGCGTGAGTGGATGTTAAAAGGAATTCAACGTAATGAATTTATTTGATTAAATTATACTTGGATTTTTTTCTTGATTTCAAAAATTTTAAAAATAAAGTGTTTTGATTTAAAAATAATTATGGACAAACGAAAATAATTGTGGACGCGACGAAAATAATTGTGGACGCGACGAAAATAATTGTGGACGATACTGTATTAATGACGCACAACATCCCCCTTAGCTCAACAAGAGCTCATACGTAATCGTTGTACTTCCGATTAGGAAGTACTCTCCTTCCATAGCGAGTGAATTGAACAGGCTGTGACTCTGTTTCACCACGACGATGTTGCAGATGAGAAAAATGTCGTGGTAACGTATGTCCGTTGACATCGACTTCAGCTGTTAAATCATTATGCAATCCCACTATACTTTCTTTCAGCCATCGTTGCGTACACAGCGTTACGTGCTTGGGTTTCACCCACACTTTGTCGCCAACTTTCCATTCACGACACTCTGTCATCGACTTTTGTGTTGATTCGATTTTATCGATTCCAGGAATTCGAGCTCGTTTGTGATGTTGGCAAAATATTTCAAAAGGTGTGCTGTGTTTTGATGGAACGTTATTGATTAAAAATACAGACATGGGAATACCACATTTTACTCATGCATTTGTTCTTTTTACTGTCCGATGAATTCTTTCAACTATTCCATTTCCCAATGGTTTTTCAACAGCTCGATAGATGAGCCTTATTTCCCATTTCGCAGCCATAGTTTGCATAAGTTGAGATCTAAATGACTTAGAGTTATTTAGAAGAACTTCAGAAGGAGGTCCAAATGTTGACCATATTGTTTCTAACGCTTGAACAACCATAGTTGCACTTTCGTCGCTTAATGGTGTCCATTACGTATATCTGCTTAGGCCGCGATCAATACAAGTAAGATATAGCGATGAATCAACATGAGTAACATCGCAGGCTACTCTTTCCCATACTTTGCTAACAGCAAGATTTCCTTTATCCCACAACATCACATTAGGGTCAATCGAGTTACATTCATCGCATTCAGCGACAACCTGTTTCACTGTGTCACTGGTAACGTGGATACCAGCGCGCATACATAACTCCATACTCTTGGAAACTCCCATGTGTGCTAGTGAATGAATTTTTCGAATCTGCTGTTTATCGTACTTGTAAATGGTATTACATTCTTGTGTTGCAACTTTGTTTTTTATCCATTTTGTTGGCACTCTTGTGAGTTCATCTGCAATATTTTTAGTTGTTGGTACCCATGTAACAGTTACATTTATGACATAATCCTCGACCAATTTTTCAAATATTTGAAGTCTTCGTCGAATTAACATTTCGCATTGCCCAGCACATTTCACAGGTTTGTCACGAGTCAATTCAGAATTTAACCAACTAAATACACTATGAGAATCAGTTTTAATGGAGACATCACTTGGATTTCATTTCAATGCCATATTTAGACCTTCAATACATGCATCTAATTCGGCCACATTGATATGCATTGCGTCAGACTTTGGTCGGACCCATGTCGCATCTTCTATTTTTCTGTCACCTTGCGTTATCTCAACTCCTTTTGCCAGCGAACTTGCGTCGCACCATACAGTCAGGGATGCATTTGGTTTAACATTTTATACACCTTTTGCCGGATCGCACTTTACGGCTTTATCTACAACTTCCTGCATCATTTCGATAAGTTACTTATTCATAATAGGTTCATCCCAACCTGCTTCGTTAGTACATCTTTTTACATAGCTGCATGTCGGTCTCAACCATCCAGCAACTGGTAGATTAGCAATCAGATTACCACATAATGAGAATATATCCCTCTTTGTGAGCACAGATTTAATAAAAAGAAGCTCACGTCCTCTCTTCCAAAACATCTCCTTTGTTAATGAATTTACTGTGACTTCTAATCCTAGTGCACGAACTAGGTTTTCGCCAAAATATTCAGGTGCTTTTGCATGAAGATTCCATTTCTTCATATGTATCACCAGCTTTCTTTCATTTCCATTGGTTGCAAGGGTGTCATCAATGTACCCTCTTGTTGTTTTTGCCAGTGCAGAATCTTGTTGGAGAACATACCGCAATATTAAGCTCATCATCACTGGTGCCAAACTTAAACCAAAGCCCAAACGTGTAAGTGCATATCGCTGATTTTTATAGATGACCGTCTGGTAAGGCCAATGCCTTTTATGCACATGAATTTGTAATGTATATGCTCTTCTTAGATCCATTACTGAGTCGTTGCTGTTTTTGCTCATGAGTCTCCACTCCCTCATTGCATCATTGATGACATCAGCATCTCTTGTAGAGGCTTTTACATACGTGTTAAGCTCACGATAATCAAGCACAGGTCTTATCTTCTTTTTGTTATCTTGAATGACACACATTAACGGTAGTAGACCTTTAGGTTTTCCCATAATTTTATTCTCATATTTGATGAGTATACCTTCTTTGAGCCATTCATTTATTTTGTTGTTAAACGCCTCACAATGTTGGTCAGCTACATTATACTGACTTGTTCTATTTTTCATTTTAGGTTCGTTTTCCCACTCCCAACTTACAATCCACTTTTTGCCATCAAAATAAGCTTTGCTTGTTTCAATTTCAATTGTCGCAACACGAAGTTTCGATGACAACTCAATCAAAGAATTACATAATTTCAGTTTTCCAGTGCCAATTTGTAGTCCATCACACGTCTTTATTAAGTCCATACCCATAATCATGTCGTATTTGTTTATTACTTCATTCACACTCAAAACCACCACATCTACCAAGCACCCATTCGTTGGGTGGCATATTTTAGCACTAACTTCTTCGCATCGAATTATTCCGCCCATTGTTGCAACATTTACTAAACGAATCACTTTATAGTCAGGCGGCAGTAACTTCTTGGTGATGATTGATTGCGAACAACCAGTATCCACAAGTGCTGTAGCTTTTCTTCCGTTTATTACCAAGTCAATAGTAGGTAGTCTTGTTTCGGGACGAGTTTTTGTAAAAATACCTAATGCGAACTCGTCCCATTTAAGTTTTCCTGGTTTCTTTGACGTTTGTAGCAGTCTTTTGCAGCATGTTTATGCAAGCATTTTTTGCATAAAGAGGTACATTCACGTGCAAAGTGATTTAAGGATTCACAGTTGTAACATCGAATTTCTTTCTTTCTTCATGTATAACTTGTTGTTCCAGTCGTCCGGTGAATCGCATTTACTTCTTCATTCACAGATAAACATGCCGCATCTAATCTTGTTTGTGCAACCACGGATGCAGTCTTGACACAATCGTCAAAGCTCAATGCATCGTCTCCCCGAAGAATGGCATGCAGAATGGCACCATCATTAATGCCAATTATGAATTGGTCACGAAGTCGGCCTTCTCTCTCTGAGGGCAAGAACTTGCAGTCTTGAGCTGCTCAAATCACTCGATGCGCGAACGTCTGTATAGATTCTTCAGTACCTCTGTAAGTTTTTTTAAACTCATACCGTGAGATTAACAATGATTTTCTTATTTCCAACGTTTCCAATTTCGTTACCAATTCTTCGTACAAAACATCCTCTGGAACTTCCGGTGCTGTTAATTCTTCCATGGTCTTGTAAATTTTTAACGGCAGAGCGGCAAGCAAAAACGCTACGTGTTGATCTGAAGTTATATTGTTTATTGCAAAGAAGGAAGTCATCTGTCGAATAAATCGCTTTGGCTGTCCATCTTCATATTGCGGAGATAATAGACATGCCCAGTTAGCTTGTTGTTCAACGCATTTAGAAGCCATTTTGTTTTTAATGTTTTTATTACTTATCAACAATCTTAACGTTTTTACAACAAATTTGTTCACTATATATAGTATTTAAGTATTAAACTTGTGACTCTTGTTAACAATTAGTGGTCGTTATACAAAATGTTATAATAATAAAAAATCACAACTTGTGACTTTTGTCAGTAATTAGCACGCTAATTATTAATGACGCACAACAAAAACTAAATGCAATATTATCATAATTTATTAGTAACTGGTGATTGGTAGAAATCTGTCCAATCTAATGCAATCTATTGGTAATCAGATAATTGGTAAATAAAAGTTTTGAAATAAGTAAAGCAAAATGCAATACCAAAGTGCTTTTTAAAATTATTCTCATAATATTTGTTATATTTAATAATGAATATAACTATTTAGTAATGTATAATTAACGATCGGTTTTGCGGTTTTTTTAGGAAGAAAAAAAACAGTTTTCTGTTTTAAGAAAACTGAACAAGAAATGGGTTAGCCGGTTACATTTACAGGTTGCCAAGCCCTAGTTGTAACTAATATGTTATGATTTTAGATCTCATCTGGTAAATCTACAGCTAGTTCATTAGTAGCACGTTGTTTTGCAGCACTTTCAATGGGTGAATTAGCTTCAATTCTATTACCAATTGATTCCGAAAGAATTTTATTCATGTTAAATATGCTTCTAGAAAGGTGTCCGTATCAATCGAAAGCAGGTAAATTTTTTACTTTATTTAATATTTTTTCTTAGAATATTTGTTTAATATTTTGATGTTTTCACATCATTACATTTTTTACATAAATACATTAAATATTAACAAATTTTTGAAAATTAAAAAATATATATATTATCTAAATTTTAATTTAAAAAGATTTTGAAAACATAAAAAGCTGTTCATATTAACAAATTGTTACATTGAAATGAAAAGGTTTTATATGGTGTATATTACGAAGAAAATCACAAAGTTTATATTTTTATAACTTTTATTGAAATTAACTTCAATATTTATTTAAATAAATGTTGAATATTTTTGCTGTACAATAGTTTTCCAGAGTCACAAAAATAAGTCAAGCGTTCTTTTAATTGATATAATTTTTAAGTAAACACTAGTCAACATTTATACCCTGCCCTCATTGGTCTGAGCATTTTTTTTCCCTCTAGTTAACTGGTAGTGGTGCCTAATAAAATACTTGCTTTACTGGTAGCAGTGGTAGTAATAAAACACTTGCTTTCTAGGTGAGAGGTAAGAAGATTGACTATGTCTATGTCTTAATTATATAGGTAGTATTGAATACAGCTCTTGTTTTTTTGTGCAGCAGCCTTGTTTGTTAAAAGATAAAGGGTTGAGAAAGATAATAAATAGCTATAATTAAAAAAACAGCCAGCCCATCAGATACAGTTAAAGTTTGAGTAAGTTTCAGAAATAAAAATGTTACTTTGTCATGTGTTTTGTTTTGTTTTTTTTAGCTAGTGTAAAAAAAGTTTCTTTTTATAAATATATTGAAGTAGATTGCATGCTTGAAATTAATTTCAACAAAAAATTATTTTAGAACTTTCTATTCTAATGTAAAAAACAAGGCAAAAACATTTCTCAACTTCAAGTGTTTAATCTTTATAAAAATATATTTTATCAACTTCATCTTTATTAAAGAGTTTTTTTCAATAAAAAAAAAATTGTCAAGGCTGTATGCTATTTATTATTATCTATTGCTGTAAGCTGTATGCTATTGCTGTAAGCTGTATGCTATTGCTGTAAGCTGTATGCTATTACTGTATGCTATTGCTGTAAGCTGTATCCTATTGCTGTAAGCTGTATGCTAGTTTTCAGTTGTATGCTATTTTTCAGCTGTATGCTAGTTTCAGGTGTTTTATATTTATCAAAAACAAATTTTAATTGATTTAAAACAAAAAAAACAAAAAAACAATTCTGTAATTTAATTTTAATTTAAAATCTGTTTAAGCTAGAGTACGAAAATTCTCAAAACATATGGTTTTGTAAAAATGCAGAACAGATCAACATTTAACATGAAAAATGATGATTTGACAATATATAGCTGTGTTCTAAGTCTTAAATTATTTGTCAATCTGTTACAATAGTAAGAGTACATAAATATTGCTTTACTTTATAGGTTCTTCGAGTCTATTGAATTTTTATTGTTCCTTAAGTCTTGGTATGCTGATTTCAAATTTATATCAACAACAACAATATACAGAAATGGTTGCTAGTAACTTCTATACAAACATCTCATCTTCAGTCAATGTTCTGGAAAATATAATTTTTAATGACGAATTAGATAAAAAAGAAGGTGCATGCGTTGGCTACGGTCTAGCAGTTGTATCAGCAATAATGCATGATTTAAACAATTATTCTAAAGCACAAGCTATTCAAATTCGAAATCGAATATTAGAAAAGTGTGGTAGCCTGCATGAGGCAGACATGTTATCAATATTTGGACAAGAGTTATATTTTGTATTAGCATACTTAACTATGGCCATGTTTACTGTAGATATCCTTACAATTGAAGAAGTTAAAAACTGTACTAAGTTTATGCAGATAAAGGCTGAAAGTAGTTTGGTTTGTTTTTTTTATGTTTGCATGCTACTGTTTTACTTTTTTTCATTTTAAAGTTTCTAGATACTTCGGCGCCTTTATACATACGAAACATCTTGACATGAACTAAATATAATTACACATATTTAACATCTTTACACATACTAAATAATTTTTTAATAAAATATCATGTTTTAATATAAATATATATGTTTTAAAAATATAGACATGAATTTTTTAAATTAAGTTTATGAATCTATACATGTAATATAATTATAGATTTATAAACATAATTAAAAAGACTATTTGTTATGTTTTTAAAGCATAACTTTTAGGTAAAATTATTTATTCAAAAAGAATAAATATTTTATGGTCCTTTAAGTTTGAAGTTATTTTGATGTGATAAGGTAACTTTTTTTTTTTTTTTTAATCTTTAAGATTGTTTTGGAATCATATATTTTGAAAAAGATGTTGATAGATTAAATATGGGTTGCGCATTATGTCAAATTTGTAAGCGTTTGCATAGTTTTTTTTTTTTGATGAATTAATGTTTCAAAAATAATTTTTTTTATACATGAATTTGATCAATCACCTTTCCCAGGCCTTTTTTTAAATAAAAAATGCTTCATGCATTAGCTTAATGCTTCATGCATTAGCTTAATTAGCCATGTTTGACGTTATAAAATTCTCTTTATTTTTTCATTTTTTAAAGTTACTTTATTTATTAGTTTATTATTTTATTATTAAAATTATATCGCTGTATATATCATTTGTTCAGAAATAATCGCGATTTAATGTGCGTAATAAATAAAAAAGTTTATATTTTAATAAATTTTTGATGCAGCTATTTATTTAAAATTTAATTTTGAGTAAAAGAAAAAGTTTAGGAAGGAAAATTGAAAGAACAATTGCAATAAAAATAAGCTGATTTTTTTTAAGAACAAATAAAATTTAAATATTAAACAATATTTAGTAATATTTTTAAATAGATTTGATAGTTAAGTTAAATCCCAGCATTAACTTTAACTATAATATACTTATATATATTTTTTAAATCAAAATTAAATTATTTTTTTTTTTTTATCAGAATAAAATTATATATTTTTATTAGTTTTAAATTAAATCATATATTTTTTTATCAGAATTAAATTATATTTTTAAGATCTTTGCTTCAAGCTTAAAAAATCAATCATTACAATAAAATAAAAAACAAAAATAAAAATAAATTTTTAATTTTGAGTTTTTTTCATTAGTAAATAACCCTTATATCAAACATTGTCATTCAAACTTTTGTAACAAGTATTTTTATATACTATTTTTATATTTTTACATTTTTATTTTTACGTCATTTAAAAGTTAATGAGACTTTTTAAAAAATCAATTAGTTGTTTTATCTTACTGTTTATAGAATAATTTAAAAGTTAAAAAATGATAAAAAGTTGCTTAACCAAAATCGATTACTGCTTATGTAAAATGCTTAAGGCGTACGTAAATTGCTCTATGTGTATTGTTTTAAAACAAAGCCTGTTTCACTACCGTAGCTGTTTAAATTTTTTTTTACCGTATTTAATGATCTGGCTGCCTTGTTTTATGTCTAAAATATCCCTGACATTCTCCATAACCGTTTGTTTACTTTGTTCACACTTTAACCTTTGTTATTTTATCAATCAACATAAGTTAACTTGGTTAATTTATGTTGATTGAATTCTACCACCACTTCTTGACACATGTACCACATGATACCAACTTTTCAACCAGGCTTGGACAGGAATGATGTGCGGTCGAACACTATTGTTGACCACGCAAATGGTTTTTTGTTGACAACTTGATCACGACTGTTTAGATGTTTTATGATTTACACATTTCAGAAATGCGCTAAAAAAAGAAACGCGAAGCTAAACAGTTTAGCTCAGCATTTTGAAGTCTTTTTTTTTTTAAATCTTAAAACTATGAAAAAAAATTTTAAAAAAACTGAAAAAGAAAAAAATTTCTCACGAAAAAGAAAACAATTCCTCACGAAAAAGAAAACAATTTCTCACGAAAAAGAAAACAATTCCTCACGAAAAAGAAAACAATTTCTCACGAAAAAGAAAACAATTCCTCACAAAAAAAAAAACAATTTCTCACAAAAAAGAAAACAATTTCTCACGAAAAAGAAAACAATTCCTCACGAAAAAGAAAACAATTTCTCACGAAAAAGAAAACATTTCCTCACGAAAAAGAAAACAATTTCTCACGAAAAAGAAAACAATTTCTCACGAAAAAGAAAACAATTTCTCACGAAAAAGAAAACAGTTCCTCACGAAAAAGAAAACAATTTCTCACGAAAAAGAAAACAATTTCTCACGAAAAAGAAAACAATTCCTCACGAAAAAGAAAATATATAAGCTTAAGAATAATATTCAAAAAACTTTTTGTTTGAAGCGAAATTTATTTTTTGTTACTTTTTTAATTGCATTTGAAATAGATTACTTTAAAACTTATCTTTTAAAACATTTTATTAAGGTTATGTAAAGCGCTTTAACAAATTACTTCTAATGACTGTTTAGTAAGTCAATTAAAAAAAAAAAACTTTTAAACAATTCTTTGTAAAAATAGAAACAAAAAAATAAAGCAATTAAATCATTTCATTGCAACAGGAAGGTATTAATTAAACTTATTCATAATTTAAAGTATTTAAAAAAAGTAATCTTATGAAAGATTTTTAGACATGGAAAATATAGTTTCAAATGTTTAAGTTTATTACTAAAAATACATGCTAAAAAAATTTATATATATAATTTACAGAAAATGCATTTATTTTAAACGATCATTATAATTAACCTTTTATTTAAAGCCTTATTTTATTTAAAGCCTTCACGTAAAATAAAAATGTTAGAAAAGGTCAACGGTTAATTGTTATTCATAACATAATGATTTTTTTATTGCATTTAAATTGTTAAAAATTAAAATAACCATGGTCAAATTATAAAGAAAAAAATTTAATAGCGTGGTCAGTTATAGAGTGCGATTCCACGCCATTTCCTTCTTTAAGTTCACTTTCATATTCACTTTTTTGTAATTATTGTCAACAACCTTTTTTTTTTTTGCTGACATCAACAACCTAAGAAATTTCATCAATAGGATCCCCACAGCGCAGAATATAAGTGAAATTTAAACATAATTTACCTTCTACAATGTGTGTTACCAGTAAAATATTAAATATTAAGTACATATGAGCTCAAGTTAGAAGTTTTGATTTTTTTAATTAAATTTAAACTTTTCCTTTTAAAAACTGCTATTATTTTAGTGTTTTTTTTTTGTTTTTTTTTGTAAAGTTAGTGAAAAGTTAAAAAAGGAAAATTTTGAAATCAAAAATTAAAAAAAAATTTGAAAAAAAAAAACTTTGTTTAAACACTTATCAAAAATCTGCATTTTTTTGATAAGTGGATTTCAAGTTTTTGCTGTCATCCTGCAGTCATATACAATAAAAAATTATTTGTTTTCTGGATTGCAATAGCTTTCTTAGTTTTAGTAACTGGAGTTTATGTATTTTCCCAAATTTAGTAGGTAAATTTTAGGTGGAGTCTACTTATTGTTTAAAAAGATAGTTAAAAATATTATATTTCTTTTTAAGTTCTATTTTTATTTTTTTTTTTTTGCAGTCAGTTGGTCTTCAATTAGCACTTGGTGTACTAAACTACACAATGCTTCAATCTAAAACTGAAAAAAATCTCTCAAATGATATACTTGAAAACTGGCACAATATTCTCTCAAAAAAAGAGTCCAATGTGTTAAAAAAACTTGGGGCTGTTAAAGGCATCTTTGCTTCATATGGAATACATTCCTTGTTCTTAAGGATTATAAATGATCTGGATCAATTCAAACAATCCATTAATACCTCATTGAAATTACTTTTTAGTTTATTTGATAAATCCCCAGATGATTCAATCTGTTTGTTAGTTGCTGAACAGTTAGGTTATATATGTCTTTTAGAAGAAAAATCTTCAAGTGTTGTTAGTCTCCCACAAAGTTACAATTATTTAAAAGAAATATCTTTGTTAAGGAATATTTTTGATCTGTTAATGAAACCTTCAATGAGTAATTGTATCAATGACTTAAGTGAGGACGAGGTACTCACTCTTCTTAAATCATTAGTTGCTTTAAAAGGTGTCCCTCTTCCCCCTGTTAACTGGGTTTCTATACTTGGTCCGTTGACAAGGGCTGGTTTTTCAGATTTTGTAAAGCAGTTATGTATTCAATTTGCTATATTTTATGTTGGCTCATCAAACTCTATGGCTTTATGGATATCTTCTTTTATCAGTTCTTCATTATTTACCAAACTAGCTATAACAACACAAAAAATGATTTTGTTAGCAACTGAAAGTTTATTACCTTATTTAACAACTAATAAACAGAGAGTGATTCTTGAAGAACTTCCCATTTATTGTTTATTTTTATCTGATCACAAGTCTCAATTTGTGTCTTGTGTTTTTCAACAGTGGTTGGCGATATTAAAAATGTCAACTCCACCTCAGTCTACCATTTCTTATGTATCATCTGCGTTAAAGATTGTTTTAGATAAACTTAAAGATGTTCAAATGGTATGTTTTTTTTATTTCACTGTATTACTAATTTAAATTGTTGAACTCTCATAGCATTTAATATTTCTATTGGTTTTCAGCAAATATCAAATCATGATTTAAAACATCTTGCCAAACTTGTGTGTTTGTTACAAGGAGAAGACTGGAGAAAAGTTTTACATAAAGTACGTTTTTGTGCAGTTTGTTTTTTATATTTTTTCATATCTAATTTCAATTTTTTTAAATTTATTTAAAAAAAAAGATGCTAGTTAGATGTGAAGAATATCCCATGATCCACCCTCATGATTACATGATTGGATTTGATTTAAATTTATTAGAACAGTAATACATTATCTAAAGGAAACACAGTATCATGTTGTACATATTCATGTTCTAAAGGATACACAGTATCCTACAACAATAAAATAAATATACTAGAAAGTTTAAAAAATCAAGAAACAAAGTACAACTATGACAAAACTGTTACATGAAGACAATCTAAGTTGGAATAAGAATTTTGTTGAAATTAAGTACTTGCTTTTAACAATGAATTTCGAGTAATGCTAAGTGCCAAATCGAGTATTAAAAATTTCAAAATATGAAAATTTAAGTAAGATGTCTATGGACTTTATCCACTGCATTTAGTAAAATGTCTTGGGACTTTATCAATTACATTTATTGATTCAATGCAATGTGGTGACCAGACTGGAGTGCAATATTCTAAAATAGGTCTTATGTAAGTAGTAAAGACTTTTACGAGAACAGGTGGATTACGATTTTTTAAAACACGGACAATATTTGAAATATGATTTTTTAATTTAGAAAAGAGTCCATAATCACATCAAGATTTTTTGGATTTTTAGGCCAAGTTAAATTATGAACTCCTAATTTATAATTGATTTTTATATGTTTACAAAATGAAGCAGGTACTATTTTAGGTGTAAAACACTTTCTTCTGGCATTTTTTGACTGTCATTTTTTTTTATCAGAGAATAACTTTGATGGCAACAGCTAAGTTGTGGCTATGATCCATATCCCTAAATGAGTTCTATAGTTTAATATCGTCAGAATATAAGAGAACAATTAACATTTTTAATTATAGGGGTTTAATCACTTACGTTAAATGTAATAACGAATAACGCTTCAATTTTTTCACGAATCAAATGCTTTTTTGATATCAATTTTCAATATGTCAGTAATTAAATGGTTGTCAAGAGCTTTATTTCAATCATTTGTTAACTCAAGAAGATTTGTGCAGGTAGATCTTTTAGATAAAAAACCTGATTGGTTGATTAGGTTTTTTTTAGATTATTATTCTCAAGTTTTATTTGCAATTTTTGAACTAAATACACCTCAAATGCTAGCAATATCAATATTGCTATTTAGTTTTCGGTTTTTAGAGGATATATTTTTTTTTTATGTAAACCTTTATTTGCGTAAGATTATGTAAACCTTTATTTGCGTGCTTACTAGTTTTATTGTTTTCGGCAAGTTTGAGTTTGACATTTTGCGGTGTGTAAATATGGTTTTTTACATTTAGATGCATATCTAGTATTTGCTTTTTTATGCGAATCGGTCTAAGTATTGGACCACCTTTTTTGTCATTAAAATACTTTTCGAGCTAACATTATACTTTAAATAAAATATACTTTGAATGAAAATGACTTTTTTGTTATGATATACTGTTCTGATTGGAATAAAATAATCAATTCCAATACGAAGATGAACTGAAAAAATATTCCAATTCTCTTTAGTTGTAAAAACAAGAGAAAATTCGTGGTCCCAATATATGTTTGATAAGTAAAAAAAAAAAATAATCTTATCAGTATTATTAAAATCCTAAAAAGAATTTTTTTAAAATTAGTTATAAATTAAAGTGTTAGTATAAAAGAGGACGGAGTTTTGGAAACAAAAGACAGAGTTGTGATCAATTTTACTAATAAACACCCGACAGTAATGTTACCTAATAGAGAAATAATATTAGACAAAAAAAACAGATCAGGAATATTATTTTTACGGGTAGCTTCCAATACGTATTGTACACATATTGAACACATATATTCATGTGGATTGTATGTGAAATGGTTTAGAGCACTACAGTTTTTACAGTTTTTACAATAGTCAGGTCAGGTTATCCTGCTACTGGTAACATGTTACCCAGTACAACCTGTTTCATGTCCTGCTGCCTTGTAGGATATGCTTTATTAGGCAAAGGCTAGGAGAAGCCAATTCTGACTTAAAATACCCTGCCTTTGAACTCTTGGTTGAATAAAGGCTAGAGATAGTGTCTTGATAAAAATGCCTAATTTGGGCAGATGTTAAATGCATATTAAGGCAAAGACTTGAGAGGTAAACAAATTCTATTTCTTGACCAGTTTCGCACCTCTTCTTCATCTATTAGGCTGCAGAAGATGTAATTATAATACATTGTAATTATAATACATTATAATACATTTCCAATTTAGGATGTTGAATGTTTGATCTTCTTGACTCAATGCATAGGTTTTGTTTTTATGACTAGGCAGCTCATTCTATGAACTCCTAATGAGGGTACAGCTCTAAAACTCAGTTTTATGGTTTTGAGGCTGGCTGGTAGTTAGGTTTCTTCAACTCTCTGGTAGCACTCAGAGAGGCTGGTTCCATCAACAGTTGTAAAGTATCAGAGTACTTTACAACTGGTGTCCATGTTTGTAATTTTGGTGTGCATTGTCAAAGCTACATTTTGAGCTCTTTTTTATGGCTTAGGGTTTATTAATAGTAATGAGGCAATTGCTTAGACTATTAAATAGTGTACTAATTACTATCTGTGCTTTGAGTCGAGTTCTTTAACAAATCCAAAAATTAAAGTAACAAAAACTATAAAATACAAAAACCATTGTCACCAGCAAGTTCTCTAAATCTATCATCACAATATTCATGGTCTTTGAAGTAACTTTTCTTCTGTTGAGTCTTATCTCTTGCAAAGTTCACCAGACCTACTTGCTCTTTGTGAAACTAATTTGAGTTCAGCTGTCTCATCTTGTAATGTTAGTGTTGATGGTTATCTTCCATAATTATTAAAAACTCAAATAGTCACATGCTTGGCCTGGGCATTTACATTCATAAGAATTCATAAGAACACCCATTTGTCAGGAAACTAGGTTTGAATCACAGAGTATTCTTTTATGTGCTTTTGTTAAGCACGACTTCACTCTATCGCTTTTGTCCTATATCACTCTCCTTTATCTCAAGAATGTACTCTTTTCGATTTTTTTTCTGATCAAATTGACCAGGCCCTCTTTTTTTTTTTATCCTTCAGCCAATATCGTTGTTGTTGATGACTTTAATACTCATCACACTGAATGGCTTGGCTCTAGTGTCAGTAGCAATCCAAGTGTTAAAGCCCACAAAATTTTCCTTTCTCAAAGTCGATTTTCCAACTCGCTTTCAAGACAATTCGAAAGCGAGTTGGAAAACTCGCTTTCTTGTTTCTGATACTAGTCAGTGCTCAGTTTCTCCACATTCACTCCTCGGTGCTTCTGATCGCGGTTTGATCTCTATAAAACTTCTATCTCATTCTTCTTTATCATCAAAATCCCTCTATCACCATACCTCTTACAACTACCTTAAAGCTGACTGGGACTCTTTCCATAATTTTCTTTGTAATGGCTCTTGGGAAAAATTTTTTTTCTTGGGAAAAATTTTCTTGGGAGATTTTTTCTTTCCTCTCAACAGTTTTAAGTCAACCCTCACTCTTTTCTATGGTTTTCCTCTGATTGTGCAGCTGCAATTTCCAATCGTAACCATTACTTCCATATCTATCACCAAAATGTCTGTTTACTATTCCTAGAAACCATTGTAAAAATGTTGTCTAACGCCAAAGCCCGCTATTTTCTAAGCTTAAAATCTTGTGTTTTATCTCAAAAACTAGGCTCCAGAGACTTCTGGAGAATCTTTGAAAGTGTCTATAATAAGAAAAAATCTGTTATTTTACCTCTCTTGCATAGTTCCTACTTGACATAGTCGACAAACAGGTTGATTTATTGCTTGACATATTGTATCACAGCAGTTGTCTATACTTACAAAACTATTTAACAAGTGCTTATCAGAATCTTGTTTTCCAGCAGGCTGGAAAACAAGATTCTGATAAGGCTTGTCTAACCACCGTCCTATTAGTCTTCTTCTTATCATAAGCAAGGTTTTTGATTCTTTAATTAATAAATACTTAATCTCTCATCTTGAATCTAATAACTTACTTTCTGATCATTAATATGGATTTCGATCTTCTTGTTCTACTGCTGATTTGTTAACAGTAATAACCAATAGGTTTTATCGTGCATTAGATAGATGTGGAGAGGGCTATTGTTCTCGACATTTCTGAAGCCTTTGGTAAAGTTTGGCATACTGGTCTTATTCGTAACATTTTTAAGATTATTGAATCCTTACTTACCAATCATAGTATAAAAGTGAATGAATGAAATAATGAGAAATAATAAGAAGTGAATGAATGAATAATGAAATAATGAAAAATAATGAAATAATAAGAAGTGAATGAAATAATGAAGTTAATGAACCATGACTGAAAGGTATGAACCATTACGAAATTTATGTTCGTGGAATTATGAAATGATTGCTTTTTATTGATTTTTACAATTAATAAAAATAATAAAAAACTAAAGGTTACAAATTTTCAGGACTTTTTTGTTTACACTCCTTGTGTAATAACATAGTTTTGTACTATTCATCTACTCTTAAATCAAGATTGATGATTACTTTATTAATTTCTGTGGAGTTTTTAAATTTATTTTCAGTTTTTAAGATAGAATATCTATCATTTTTTTTGTTGAGAGCAATAACAAATGTCACAACAATACAAGTCACAAAATTACAAGTCACAGCATTACAAGTCACAACATTACAGTCACTTTCTCTAAGTTGTTTTAATAAGTGACTTTATTAGTTTATCTTGATCAGCTTCATAAACGTTAAATTCTGTTAATTGAGCGTTTTCCATGTTTATTATTATTTCTATTTTTTGATATATTTGTTTGATATATATATATATATATATATATATATATATATATATATATATATATATATATATATATATATATATATATATATATATATATATATGCCCTAAGGTAGGTAATTTTGTGCACCCTCCATTAAAGTCAATCAAAATTGAACAGTTTTCAATTCAAAATTGAACAGTTCAATATATTTAAGCAGTAGTTTCTGATTTTATATGTTTATGCAAAGTCAGAAATAAAAAACATAATGTAACAAAATGTTATATTATGTATGTGAAGATATGTATGCTAAATCAAAAATTAAAAACAAATCTTATATTATGCATATAAGTTTAAATCTATAAATATATAAATACTTTAACAGCTTCCAAAAGAAATTCGATACAGGTTACAAATAGAAATACTTTATCTGTTGTCTCCAACATATGATGACATTTTGGAAATTGTTTTTGGTGAAGAAATTGGTATGGTTTGAAAATTAACACTGATTAAAATTTAACACTAAAAAATGATTTTTAATAAATTCATTTTAATGTATTATTTTAGTTTTAACCAATATATATGATATGATCCAAATGATATTTTCATTGAAAGATGTAAAGTTGTTGGAATATTTGGTTAAAAGAGTAATCAATGATAACCAAGAAGATAAGGTTTGTTATAATGTAGGATATCATAAATTTTAAAAAGTTCGAAGTTTGTAAATTGATTGAAATAAAGAATAAGATTTTGCAAAATTAATTAAAACTAGCTGTCATGACTTGTAAAATACAGGTCATGGTAAGTCTATTCTGCATTCACCATTTCTATTTATACTTATTTCTTATTTATTTCCTTATATACTTATTCCTTATTTCAATATTTTTTATTAAGCAATTGAAAAACTATTGTCTACTTTTTAACATATTGTCTACTTTTTAAAGTTATGGATAAAAAAATAATTTATTATATAGTTAACTTTAAAATGCTTCAGTAGTCGTTTCGTGAACCGCTATTTATCAGCAGTTCAGATATTAGTACCCAAAGCAGATATTCTAATTAATATTTAGAATACCTGCTTGAAATGTATTGATTAATTAAAATTGGAATAAAAAGTTTTAAAAAAGAATTAGACTTAAAAATATATGAAATAATGTATTTAACATGACCTGTATAATATAGAATATAACATGATATAACAAATTTACAACATGACCCATATAATATAGGTCATGGTAAATTTATTCCACACCGACCATTTCCATACTTATTCTTTGTATAGTCATGTTATTTCAATAACTTTTAGCAATGGTCGAAAATAAAAATCTTTCAAATCTTTGTTTTTAGTTACCTCTATCGTGACGTATGCGCAAAAAATTTCTACCGCTGATGTTATATACATAATATATATATATATATATATATTATGTATATAATATCAATAGAATTTAAAAGAGGATTTATTTTGTATTTTAGAAAATTGGAAAAGGTTTGCCAATTTTAAAAACTATTTAATAAAAAAATGAATAACTTGATAAAATGGCAAATAAATGCTATAAATCAAAATTAAGGAGATTTTGCCGCAATCCAATTTTTAAATAAATTAAAACTTTATTAATGTAAAAAGTAAAATAAAAGCAAAGAACAACAAGTTTAAATGAGTATTTAGTTTGCACCGGCAAACGATTGGATTTTTATTTGAATAAGAATGGAATTTTGCTCAAAATTTCCCTTAGGAATAAGTTTTAATCTAAAAACGAATGAAAACAATAAAAATATGATTAATTTGGAAAAGATTTAATTTGGAAAATATTTAATTATAAATTAATAATATAATTCTGTTGCTTTATTAGTTCGAATTGTTAGTTTTTTAAACAGTTTTGGTAACTCACTTGTTATAGAATTATCTTTCTTTAATAGACTTATTATGTACCTCAATATGAAACAGCTAGAATGTAAGAAAGTAGAGAGAATTATCGAATGCTTTGCATGAAGATGGCAATGAGGTCAAAACCCCCAGTCAAAGAATGACCAAAGGCTTCATTTTTGGTTGCAAAACTGAAACTTGGGGTCAGTGACACATTTTTCGGTAGCCATAGTTTTTTGAGAGGAGGAGTGGAAGTTTTTCCATGAGTCGTCTCTTGTATAAACTGTGGTAAATCCGGCCATCCAGCCTCTACGCGGCGCAACTAGAAACTTGGATCAGTGATCAAGGCTAATGGATGACGGGACTCCATGGATAAGGAGATATAAAGATCTTATTTGAACGCATCTTAAGGGGTTATGGGGCTAACACCCCCTTAATTCTGGTGCACATTTATTGACCGTTATGAGCAATAGAATCACGATAGGTGATGTACCCTCGGTAGGAAAGGGGGGTTTAACTGTCAATAAACAAACAGCAGGAGCTGATGGTGCTGAAGCGTGTGTAGTCATACACCCAGGTGCCAAGGGTATTTGGTCCTCTCCTGCGTGTTTAAGAAAGTTTACGATCGGAAAAGAACTAAGGGCACATTTGGCTCAAATTCATAAACTTGCACCGAGTGCAGTTCGGTACAGGTGTAATAAGTGTCCGTATGAGGGTGATGTCCAACTCAGTGTGGGAACACATCTGAGGTACTGTAAGGGTATTGCGGGAGTGGTGGAGGAGAAAAAGCAATTCGCTTGCGCGATTTGTAATTTCTCTTCGGATACCTTTTCAGGACTTCAGGTGCATAAGCAAAGAAAGCATGTAGTTGAATGGAACGAGCAGCTGAAAGAGAAAACGGAGTTTGCTTGGACAGACAGGGAACTGCGGGAGCTGGCAGTTAAGGAAGTAACGACTCCTTTCACTGTGGTGAATACGGAGACCTTTGCTGTGCTAGGTATTACGACGCGGACTAAGGATGCTGTGAGGAAAATTCGCTACACGGATAGATACAAATCTATCCTGGCTGAAGTACGCGCACAAGTTAACGCTGTGGCGGAGGAAGCCACAGATTTGAAATCCTGACTTTCAAAGTTCCACAGATTGTATTTGCTGTTAGTATCTATTATAGTTTCACCAAGGGCCATTTTAAAAAAATGCTAGTTAATTGTATCTTATCACCACTTTCACTTTTCTAACTAGCAATAAATCCTGTTTAAATGTTAACTCATTTGTACTGTCTTTTAAATATAAATTTGATTCTTAAAATATAAAAATATTACAAAATTTAAATATATCAAGAAATTTTTAATCATTTCACAGGTTGTTAAAACTTTCAGAATTTATTATTAAGAACTGAATGAAGGAAAAAAAAGAAAACTTATTATACAGTATACAAAAAAAGTTTTCTAAATTTTTTTTTTTAGAGTTTTTTTCTACAGCATTTTCATTTGGATTTAACTACTTAGTTAAATGCCCCGCTCACTAATATACATAAAACCACTAATATACATAAAACGCTGCCCCGTCGCGTTTTATGTATATTAGTGGTAGTTTTGTTTTGCTTGATGCTTTGGTTAAAAAAAAGACATAAAAAATAATAAATTATATAAGAAAAACTTAAATTCTACTTTTTAAAAATATATAACAGTAATAGTCGAAAATAAGCGGAAAACACAAAAAATTGAAGTTTAAAAATGAAAATTTTTGTTTTTAAGAAATGCAAATCATTCGAATCTCTCCTTAACTCGCTGAGTAGTTTTAGATTTGCTGTTTTTGTTGTTGCTGTTGTTGTTTTTTTATAATAAAACAAACGTCATTAAGCTTTGTTCATTTTTTTTTTTTTTTTAATGGTTTTATTTATATATATTTTTTTAATTTTTGTGTGATTATCAGTAAAAATCTTTTCTTTTCACCGTAATATTTATAGTTATAATTTAAACATTGAGAAATTTAAACATGAAGGACAAACTTGCAGGATGAACTTGCATGATAAACATGCAAGATGTACTTGCAGGATACAACACGCAGAATGAACTTGCAGGATAAATATGCAGGATGAAATTAGTTTTAAATAAGATTCAGAATTAGTACTTAAAGAATGTTCTAAAAATATTTATTTTATAAGTAATAAACATGTTTATTACTGTTTTTTGTTTTGCTTTGTTTTCCCTGTTTTAATGTGGTTTCATATTTTATATTTTCTTGGTTTATTTTCTCAATTTTATGTTTAAAATGTTATTTTTTTACTCTCCAATAGAATATTTTCATGAGCATTGTATATAAAGCCTGCTTAGCGACACAAAATGCTGGCAGTTTTGTACTTCCAATAGATCAAATGGCTACTAATGGTTCTTATATGAATCTGTTTATTCGATATATTACTTCTAATTCCTGTTAGTACAATTTTTTTGTTATTTGTTGTTGTTTAATTAAAGGTCTTTAAATATTTCAACAGTTTGCACAGAGCGTTAGGTACTATTCCCCCTGGCACTGACTAATTAAATTTTTTAGATTTTTTATTAAAATATTTAAAGATATTTCTTATGATTTCAAATATTTAAAAATATTTAAAATCATTAAAAAAAAAATTATTAGCTGTATATTATATATATATATATATATATATATATATATATATATATATATATATATATATATATATATATATATATATATATATATATATATATATATATATAAATTAGTAGAAAATCACTTAGCAAAATTTTTTCTTATTTAACATTGTGTTTCATCAACAAAGACTCATCAGAAATGCATTTCTGATGAGTCTTTATTGATGAAACACAGTGTTAAATGAGAAAAAATTTTGCTAAGTGATTTTTTACTAATTTATTGTTGCTCTGTTCTTTTAAGAACATTGAGTACTCTTTTTGTAGAATACATTTTAAATTGTTTAAATATATATATATATATATATATATATATATATATATATATAGTATATATATATATATATATATATATATATATATATATATATATATATATATATATATATATATAATAATAATAATAATAATAATAATAATAATAATAATAATAATAATAATAATAATAATAATAATAATAATAATAATAATAATAAAATAAATAGCACAGATTGATGGTTAATATGTAATGATATATTTTCCAGAGATCTGAGTTTTTGAGATCTAAACCCTAAGCCTAATAAAATATTAGTTTTAGAAGATAACAATACTGAGTAAAAAAGTAATTTAACTAAAAAAAATTCGATCTTAAAAATGATTTAGAGGTACAAAATAATGGGGCAATTTTAAATAGCACACCTTGTTTAGGAATTATCATTTTGTCCGTTTGCTATCAAAATCATAGAAATTTTTTGTATAAATAGTTAAGAAAACTTTATTTGAGGTAAATTAATATTTAGTGGGGTATCCTTTTGAGTCAATAACTGCTTGACAACGACGGCCCATTGACAAGATCAATTTTTGGCATTGTTCAGGCGTAATGGCGTCCCAAGCAGCCTTTATTTCGATCCAAAATTGGTCTAATTTGTTGCAGTTGATCGATTTATTTTTTTGTCAACTTCCTTCCACAAATTTTCTATCGGATTTAGGTCTGGTGACAGTGCGGTCCGCTCCAAAACATCAATCTTATTAGCGTTAAACTACATTTTAACACTTTTGGCGGTATGCTTGGGTCATTGGATTGTTGGAATTTCCAAAGCAAAGGAAAATTTTCTTCGGCATAAGGCAACATGAAGTTTTCTAGTATTTCTTTGTACATGCGTTGATCCACTGTCCCTTGAATTCTATGCAACGGGCCCACGCTGCACCATGAAAAACTGCCTCAAACAATCGGCTTGTCACCACTATGTTTTACAGTCTTTATAGTATGCCGAGGGCTGAGTTTTTGGTTTTGGGACGAACATATTGTTTTCCGTGGGATCCAAAGCAATTTTTCGGCCAATTCTTCTAAGTAGCTTATTTTCGTCCAAGCGACTTTTGACAGTGCTGACAGACAGATTAGTTGTAAATTTTAGGTGATTTGATCTTTAATTCTTGGTGTGCCAGCAAAAGGATTTAGCTTAGCGATACGGACAATGGCTTCGTCTTCTCTGAAGGTTGTGTTTCGTTCGCGAGACTTGCGTTTTCTGTTGCTTAATGAACCAGTGTTGTTAAATAAATTAATTGCATTGATAACTTTTTTACGAGAATAACCCAATCTTCGAGCTATTTAGAGTTCAATTCTTGATCTAGAAATGCCTGTACTTGACTTCGAAAGACATCTTTTTCATGAAAGAACATGATTTTTTCATCTTTGCTAAATGAATTACAAGTTTATCCTTAAGGTGGTAGGCCTATGAAAAACTTTTTTTAAGCATCAAAATAAAATTTACAATAAAACTAAGCATTTATTACCAATAATTATGAGACTAAACATAAAATCAAAAAAATATATAAAAAAGTGCCTCGCTTGCCTCAAAAATTTATTAAAAAGTGTGAAAAAAACGAAAACTTCAAAACACTATTTCTCAAAAGTGACAATAGATCAAAACTCCAAATTTGGTATGGTAGTTCTATATATGTATAAAATTCATTTGTCATAGGATTTTTTAATCTGCCTTCCTGGTTCAGATTATATTGACTTTTAAACTTGAATATATATTTTTATGAAAAAACTTTGACAGATAAAACCACATTGTAGCGCCCCAAAAAAAGAAAATTTAAAAATCTTATGACAAATGAATTCTACATGTATGAAGAACATATCCTGAAAATTTCAGCTTAACTGCTTAATTTAAACTGGAGATATCATGTTTTAAAATTTTTAAAAAAACTAAAAATCTCAAAATGAGAAAAATCAAATCAAAAACTAAAAATCAAAATTTATGTCTATAAACACTTCTTAAAAGCTACCAGAGCTATATGAATCTGTTTTTTCAGTATCTAAGTATCCCTTATAAAGAGATCTAAGTTTTTTTCTTTGCTTTTTGCATATTGAAGTTGATTTACGACGGTTGTTTACAATTCGTTTTTGGTCCTTTAAAACCAGTTTTGGAATAGTCACTGATCCTAACAATCCGAAGTAACTTAAAACAGATTTTACCCCATCTCTACCATCATTATAATGAACTATTGCAGAGTTTATACAAAGTTCAAATGTTCTTCTATTTACAAAAATGTTTTTAGGACAACGAGTCCATAAAATTGATCGAAATGCTTCATTTGAATTTTGCGTTTGGCTATGTAAACATTTTCTTAGCAAATCGTCATCAGATAAATCTTTAAAAATAGGTTTTATTATATTATGAATAAAGATAGGTAAGTTAATTTTGTTAGTGTGTGTATTTGTACCTTTAAGTTTGTCTAGTTGCCACTTGCACCAGGAATATTCATCCCTAGGACACATAGAATGACGAATGTTATTATCACTGAAATTTGTGCTGTGCCACAAAACTGCTCCTACTGCTTTTTTCATTGCATAAATGTTGTCAGTGTTGTTTCTAATTGCAATACCATAATAATTCTGCATTGAGTTAATTGCACTATTAGTCAAATTTCCTTTTCCATGTTTCTCTGTTCTTTTACACTTCTGTACAATATTTCGAAAGCGTGTACCAAGTCGCTTCTGCACATGCCCAATGCACTCCAATTTTATTGGTTGAATATTATAATTTTTATATGGATTAGATTCTTTAACTTCTTTAAAAGATGAAGTATCACCATCCCCTAGGTATTCATGATAAATCAAATTGTACTTTTTAACTGATCGAGAAAAGATTTCCAATGCGCCAGCCGCCTCCATTGCACCAGATGACTTTGTATGGTTAATGTGACATATGTGATCTGCTTTCCATCTGTTGTAGGCTGGTGATCCTCTATGTTTTTTGAACATTGAACAACCTTTACAATGCTTAGAAAAAGCTTTAGTATCTATAATTTTGTTGTTGATGACAGCAGTTACAACACCATTTAGTGATGTAAAGCCCCGCTTTTGCCAAGAGCCATCAATTGTTACTCTTTGTTTTGTTGGAATACTTAATGTTTTGTCTTGAGCTTCTTCAGCTGCTTTTTTCATACTATTAAAAGCAGCTTTATCATATGCTGTATAAATTTCATTGTCATTAAGGTTAGAGAATGGTGTTTTAGATAAAGAACACATGTTCATGCATTGAGAAAATGTTTCCATTGCAGTAAAACCTTTACCGATTTCACGAAAACCAATTACTGCCCTTGCATTTGCTTCAAAGATTTTAGGACCTTGACCATGGTTTTGTGTATTACATTCTTTTGATGTATAAACAGATTTATACCATTCGCATGACTCACATAAAAGTTCTAAATTATGGGAAAATCCCTTTCTCTTCTTTCTGTTATCACTGAGAGTTGTTTTTTTATGGCCACATTAAGGACATACTAACAAAGGTTGAAACTTTTGAGTACAGAGAAATTTACGAATAAAAAGTAATCGTCTTCTTGTTTTATTACTTCACTGATTGTATTGAGATTAGTTTGATTCATAATTAGCCTCTTTTTACTTATGCTAGATGTAACTTTTTCTGATGAAATATTTGAAAGACATTTTTTTGAGTATTTATTTACAGGAGGCTTCTTCTTTCTTTTTCGTGAAAAATTTTGCTTGCTGCTTTTGCCAGAAGACATTTATTACGATTATACACAAGTACAAATTGATTGATTTAAATTAAGAGTTGAAAAATTCATAAATAATGATTTTATACCACAGCTAATATAAACAGTTTAATATGGCAATTATTATAAGAAAATGTAACTTTAAAGCATGACCAAAAACACCGCAGATCTATAATATATTGGAAAAAGAAGCTTCACAAGATTTGTCATTTTGGCCATCTAATTTGGGTAAAATAAGGTCTTAATTTTTCGTTGCTATGACGTTGCTAAGGTAAACAAAAAAACTAACTAACAAAATATGTTATTTAAAACACTTTTAATTTAATCAAACCTAAACAAGTCATATATCAGCAGATAGAGGATAAATTTTTACATAAATACAATATATTTACTTTTTTTTCAATTTTTGATCAAAAATCTCTATTTTTCATAGCCTACCACCTTAAGATACCTAGTATAATGATATTCTTTTGATATAATATAAGAACTTTGGTTGTTTGTTTTTTTTAAGAAAAAGTAAATAAGTGCTATTTAAAATGACCCAAAAAATTTGAACGCGACTTCTAAAATGCTCAAAACAACCAATTTGATAGAAAATTTGTCCAATGAGTAGTTCTGTTCAAATAAGTAAATATTGTTGGAGCTATAAAAAATAACACCAATTGCTATAAAAACGTAAAACTTGGTACCAAAAAGTTAAACCAGATGGTCATGAAAGTGTGCTATTTAGATTGTCGCCACTATATACCTAGTGGTACCAATTGAAGTGCGAAATTTTAATTCAGTAAAAAAATTTAAGAGAACATGTTTTTAGTGCAAGAACAAATGTAATATATACATATTATAGGCATGTTTATGTTTTAGTTAAAATGCTAAAGTACACATTAATAAAGAGAGTCCTCGAAATAAACCCCTTTTGCCCGTATGCACGCCTCCAGTCTTGGACGCCATTCCTCGATTGATTTACGCACGATATCCATGGATAAAGCATCCCATTCTCTGAGAAGTGATTGCAGAGGGCATAATGTTTTTTGACAGAACCACTATCATTATATCGCCTAATAGTACGATAGACAAAATCCTTTGATATTCCTTTATGCATCAGCATTTTGAAAATCTGATACGGTTTGTTTTTTTTCCTTTCATACTATCCATTATGAAAAAATCTACAAATAAACACAAATAAATTAATAAATTCCAGGAATCTATTCAAACAATACAATTAAATGCGGGAACTATATAATTAGCACGTGCCTGTTAACATGACAAGTTTAAACAAACTTCGCACTTCAGTTGGTACTACAGGGTGTATATATATATATATATATATATATATATATATATATATATATATATATATATATATATATTAACGAATCAAGGGTGTATATATGTATTTATAAGTTTGGTTTGTTAATTAATAGTAGTCAGTACAGTAAAGGAGAGGTGGGGGAGGACACAGGTGATTATTTACAATTTTATAAAAACAATCGTTACTCAATCATTTTAACAAACGTATTAATTAAATAATAAATTCACTTTTACAATAAATGATGTTTTATGTTTTATTTGGTAAATTATATTTTTTAATTTTTGATATTACACGGGAAAATGTTTGATAATTTTGGGTGTTGGTGTGTTTAGAATTTCCAAGATTGGTGAGATCAGGTATGGAGTAAGCATTTGTTACGCATAATGACATTTGTGGCGATAATGGTTAACATTGGGTGTAAATAATGGTTTAGGAGCACGAATGTTTCAATTTATTTGCATTGAGGAGTTTTCCGATCTTAAATTCTAAATCTTGACGTATTATTTCAATTTTTGCGATTAAGTTTTAATATGTTGCTTCACGAACAGTCATATATATTTTTTACAGCTCTACAGTCAAATACAGTTTGTGAATTTAATTGAGGAGTCCTCGACTTTAATAAAACATTTTATATTTCAACGGTTCGGGGCGTATTTATGAATTAACTTAGGGAGTTGTTTTTCATTAGTTTTTTTTTATGAGTTATTTGTACTATTCAAAAATATTTGTATTATGCAAAAAATATTCATAAATAAACTCAAAAACTTGAAAATAGTATTTGTTTTTCTTATTTTTTGTGTTTTTTTACTTATTAAAAATCAGTTAGATAATTGTTCATTGTCAAGTTTTATCCGTAAGACAATTGACCTGTTTTTTATAAAACTCTGAAAGTTGGAAATAAAAACAAATTTAATATGAATTAAATATTAATTATAATTTATGTAAATAATATTAAGGAATACTGTAAAATCACCTAAGTTCGGTCACCATGTAACTTTGGTCATTTAAGAAAAAATATATAAAAAGCACTCTAAACTTTACAAACTTTTTTTTCTCAAATAATATTTGAAAGGTCGCGGGCAAAACGATGAGAGTCCCAATTTACTAATTTTCTGTTTACAGCCTCATAAAAAGTCATAATTGCAACACAAATATATATCTTTGGTTGTATTTTTAACTAGACAAAATGGTGTCCTTAACTCATTTTTGGAAAAAATGAACTTTCATCGTTTTTCCCCCCTACCCTTCATCTGTTTTTACTTCGTAAATATGAATCTATAAAAATGTTTATTTGCAACCTGCTAAAATAATCCTTTAGCAAAATAGCAATTCGAAAAAAAGCTTACTTATAAAATCTAAAGCTAAGTATTAAAATAAATGATCAAATTCTTAGTATTATTAAGAATCACAAATTAATTATATCTACAAAAAATATATATTATTTTTTGCAAATTAACTACTTTTCTTGAAAATTAGTGAAATTTTAAAATATTTTAACTTCATTCATTCATGGGTAAGAAACGAAAGACAAATAGAATGTTGTGAAACGTTGATATGTAAAAAATTTTGTAAAATGAACTAGTGTTGCGAATGTAAAGGTTACCAGTAATGTTTTGGCAATAGATACTCACCATAGTATTTTGTTTGAATAAAAAATTCACTATTGATCGATGTTATTTATTAAAATAACATATTTACATATAAATATGTTATTTTAATAAATATATAGATTTTCTAGATTGATGGCAAACGGTGCTACCTATGGTGTCAAGCAATCTGGCTGTATGGAAGGAATTGTTTTTGCTGGATGGTTTGAAAAGATATTTGTTCCACATGAACACTGCAACAAGCACATTGTCGTGGGCAGTGTGCTTGTTGTAGGGTTCTTGTAGCCGTTGTTACACAGTTGCGCAACCACTACGCTCACATGAGCAGCCGTGGCGTAGTGGTTGCGCACTTGCCTCAGAAACAAAGGATCCGTGGTTCAAACCCCACCTCTTGGCAAGTTTTGCGACATCGGTTAAGAAGGAGGCGTGAATTTCCAATTAAATGCTCATCCTCGGTGCTCTGTGATAAGACCATTAGGACTTCTTGGGGCACCTAGATAAAATTAAAAAAACAAAAAAATTGCAATTATAGAAAAATAAATAAAAATTAAATAATGTCCATGGATTACATGCGTAATAAAAAAAATCTATAAAGAAAAAACAAAAGTTATACAACAAATATTTAAAAAAAAGAAATTTTGAAATGAAAAAAAAATCTTACTATTTTTAAACAATACAAAAACCTTTTTAAACAAAAATCTAAAAAATTGTATTTTTCCAAACAAATACAAAAACAGTAGTTAAAAAAAATCATGGGATATAATAAACGAAATTATAGGTAAAACTAAATTAAAATCCAAAACTTCTTCATTCTAGGATTGAAAAAACTGAATATACAGATAAAGAAAAATCTCAGAAAAATTTGATAATATTTTTGTAAATATTGGATCAAACCTAGCGTCATAAATAAACAATTCAAACAATTTATTTTATAACTATTTTACTGACCATACTTTTGTTTACTTTCTTAAAATGATCTAAAGTTGGAGGAACTCAAAAAAGCAAAAAAAAAAAAAAAAAAAAACAAAGGTATTATTGACATTTCCAGCAATGTGGAAGTAGATATAGTACCGTAAACCGTACGGTAACTTTGGCCAGCGGTGTAACTTTGGCCATTTTTGAAAATTTTAGTTAAACATCTGTAACTTTTAAACAGTAACGTTTTACTATTTTTGTTTTATTTGTAAATGTAATCTTTCTTGCTTAATTTTTAATCAGAAGTTTGTTGCAAATCCTCTTTATTATAAATGAAAAAAAATGAAAATTACATCTTGGTAAAACACAATCAAAAACTGTATAACAGAATGTTGTCTGGGCAAAGGTAATAATAAAAGCAAACAGCTCAGTTTTTCTTCTGTTTAAAATCAAACGCTCCGATAAAATGAAGCGAAAAGTTTTTGGCTTAAGTAACAACATTCTGGTTTTTTTTACAGGGTGGTCAAAGTAGGTGTACCCCGTAGGTGTAACTCTTTTGGGGTAACTTTGTAACTGGGGTAACCCTTTGTAACTTTGTAACCTTTTGGGGTAACTAAAATATATAAATGTCATTAATGTAACAATGTAACCCCGTAGGTGTAACTCTTTTGGGGTAACTTTGGCCAAGTAAATAATATTCATTTTAAAGTAGTCTGACCGTTATTTATTATAACTAAAATATTTTTTTGAAGCATGTTGCCCAAATAATTTATTTTAAAAAACAGTTTTCAGCATGAATTTATTTTATGATTTTAAAAAAAGTATATTTTCTTGTTAAACTATCTGTTTTTGTTGCAAAATCATGATTTTATTAACTTTATAACAAAATTAAAATTTATAGAAGCTTAGTTTTAAATTTAATTGCAGTTTAATAAAATTATATAATAGTTGTTCTTGTTCTAATACCATTCTTTTGAAAGATTGTATGGGTGCAATTAATAAAGATATGTCTATTCGTCAAGCCTCAAAAAGGTTTAGTATACCAAGAAGCACTATACATAATAAAATGAAGTCAAAGCAAAAAAATGCGGTAATGTTGCCGAATAGTTAAATAAAATTATCTTTTAGCTTTTTGCGCTCTCGCAAAAAGTCTGTATATTATGACTATGATTATAGATACTTTAAAAATTCTATTGAATGAATGAATAAAATGGAATGTTCTTTAAAATGGAACTTTCATAAATATCATAGTAGATAAATTTTACAGTAGTAGTATTGAAATAGTTTTTTCTATTTAAAAATTTTTTTTAATTTTTTATTTTATAAATAATTTTTTATTATTATTTATTTAATTTTTTATTAATAATAGTTTATTAAATACAATTATTCGAAATAAATTATTGTATTTATTTCAATAATAAAAAATATAGTTTTGTTAAAACCATTGTTCATGCTAATGTGTTTTTTAAAAATATGTGGCTATTGAAATTGCCGTTTATGTTATAGTTCATATTGACGTGAAATGCAAGCAATAAATGCTGAAAACAAAGGAAAATCTATAAAACGTTAAAACGTTTTATTTTATATTAAATGCTATATTTTATTTTATATTAAATGCATTTCTCTTATGAAAAGGTAAGATAAACATATCTTACCTTTTCATAAGAGAAATGAAAAATGCTATAAATTAATTAAATTCACGAAATAGTTAAATTTTTCTTACTTTTTCCTTTTATTAAAACTCCATCGCAGATTTTAAAAAGCAAAATAATAAAATGATTTAACGTGTCTATTCTGCAACATTACCAAAAATGCATTGGTGCACCAACATTTGCTTATGATGAGGAGCAGTTATTTTTATCTAGAATCAAGGTGTGATTGACTATTTCCATTAAATAAACTTGATATTAAAATGTTAGTAGCTGGTTATTTAAAATTGCAAAAGCGTACTGTAAAAGTATTTAAAAACAATGTTCCTGGTGATGATTGGGTCCAGTGGCGGATTAAGTATAGGGCGTGGGGGGTGAGCTGCCCCCCACGCCCCCCTAGAACGGTGTAACGGCGCCCCCTAAAACAATTAAAATATATATATATATAAGATTAAATTACTGAAGGCAACCCCGGTCGCCCCTATTTATTGACTTGCCCCCCCGCCCCGCGACACTAAACCTCAATCCGCCACTGATTGGGTCTCAAGTTTTATGAAACGTTCACAGTTAACTGATAGAATTGCATCAAATATTAAAAGAAAACGTGCAGCTATAAATATATTTATAGCTGCACGTTTTCTTTTAATATTTGATGTAAAATTTTTACATCAACAATTTTACATTTACAAAAATTTTTACATTTACAACATTTTTACATTTACAAAAAAAAAAAATTTTAATTGTTCTTTATTAATAAAGAACAATTAAAAATTTTTTTCGACAATATTAGACTTAAGCTTGAAGAAATTCCACCTTGCAATATTTGGAATTATGATGAAACAAATTTGCCATTTCAATAATTAAATGACATTAGTTATGTACAACTTTGAGCATCAAAATAGTTTTACGGAAAATATTCCTTTTTTTTAAGCACTTATCTTCTTTATCAAAAATGGTACAAAGTTACCCCGGTTTACGGTATTTCTTATGACTATGGACGCTCGAACCGTCTGAGTTATCCCGCCACAAATTACTTCCTTAACTTTTATTATAAATAACTTCGAAAGACTCTATTAAACTATTTTGCATTTTATATAAAACTCTTTGAAACATTTTGTTTTTTTCTCTCATTTTTAATTTTAGTTACAACGTATTTATAGAAATGTTTAGAAAAAACAAGGGACTTGGTGATAAGACAAAGCTGTCTTCTTCTCGTTCTTGCCATTTATATATATATATATATATATATATATATATATATATATATATATATATATATATATATATATATATATATATATATATATATATATATATATATATATGTATATATATATATATATATATATATATATATATATATATATATATATATATATATATATATATATATATATATATATATATATTATAAAACATGGAACTTGTAAATATTTGTACGGCTAAATTAAAAAAAAAAAATTATTAGCTATGCTAATATACTATTTATGCAAGAATACAAAACTTAAAAAACTTGTTATCAATATAGATAACTACAATATATAGAAAAACTACAATACATAGAAAAACTGCAATGCATAGAAAAACTACAATACATAGAA